AATACCCCTTCAAAGACGATCTGATGACTGAGATAAAGAAATGAACTGCTATGGAAAAAGGCATCCATTATTAGAGAGAATGCACCGTGGTGGAAATGTTGCATGACCGTACATTTATTCCTGATGATCCAAACCAAGAGCATGATTCTGAGAGAGTCAGGTGTATATCAAGTATGTGGCGTATATTCACAAAGACTGTACCAGAAAGGTACACCAGTACATTAGCAGCAATGTATGGCAGAGGGAAAAGAAGATCCCTTTTAAATGAACTAATCAATAGACTTCATGACTTTGAGTTACATTTAACCCCTATGTGAGCTTGTGTTTCAGCCACTGAAAAAATAACCAAAAAATTTCACAGAATGGAGAGCAAACAGGAAAATATGACAGACAAACTGCCTACTGTGCTTTATTGTGATGAAACTGACGAATCCATGGTGATATCAGAGACACCTGATGGGGATCAGGATTCTCAAAACAGCCTACTGGAGGGGCTGATCAAATTGGTTTACTCCCAACCTCGATCATCCAGTGTCTCAGTTATTAAATGAAGACATCTTCCTTCTCAAGCAAGTGACAACAGTAAGACTATGCTGCATATTGCCTTTTGGCATTACCTACGTGACTATGGAGAAGATATGAAGAAGTGGCATAAAAAAATCACTCCTGTACTACAGGCACAGGTAAAATAATTACAAGACAGATCAACCACCAAGATGAACTTCTCCAAAAAGGTGACTGCTCCAGTTTCTGTGGTACACAGTAAAAGCCATAAGAACCCTGATCTTGACTCATGGAAGAAGAATGATAGAGGAAACAAATAGAGGGTCCCTGCCCCCAGCCAGCAGAGGGAAAGGGACAAAAGAGCATACTGGACTATGTGGATTAGATGGCCTGGCACATCAGAACCACAGAAATATAAGACACTGGTGGACATTGGTGCAAAGTGCACTCTAATGCCCTCAAGTCACAAAGGGATAAAATTTATGTTTCTTGGGTGACTGGGATTTCCAAGAGTTGACTACGTTGGAGGCTGAAATAAGCCCCACTAGTAAAGACTGGTGAAAGCAACCTATTGTGACTGGCCCAGGGGCTCCATATATACTTGGTATTGATTGCCTCAGGAGGAGACATTTCAAGGATCCCAAAGGGTATTGATGGGCCTTTAGTATAGCTGATACAGGCATACAAGCAGCTGTCTGTTTTGCCTGGACTGTCAGAAGATCCGTCTGTTGTGCGGTTGCTATGAGTAAAAGAGCATCAGGTACTGATTGCTACAAAAATGGTGCACAGACAGCAGTACTGCACCAACAGGGATTCCTTGCTCTCCATTCGTAAGTTGATTCGTCAGCTAGAGAGTCAGGGAGTGATCAGCAGAACCCACTCACCTTTTAATAGTCCCGTATGGCCAATGTATAAAGCCAGTGGAGAATGGAGGCTGATGGTAGACTACCGTGGCCTGAATGAAGTCACACCCCCACTGAGTGCTGCTGTGCCAGACATGTTAGAACTCCAGTATGAACTGGAGTCAAAAGCAGCTAAATGGTATGCCACCACTGACACTGCTAATGCATTCTTTTCCATTCCTTTGGCCACAGAGTGTAGGCCAAAGTTTGCTTTTACCTAGAGGGGTGTTCAGTATACCTGGAATTGTTTGCCCTGGGGGTGGAAACACAGCCCGACCATTTGCCGTGGATTGATCCAAGATGCACTGGAACAGGGCGGTGCTCCTGAGCACTTACAGTACATTGATTATATTTAGTCATTTGGGGCAACATAGCAGGGGAAGTTTTGAGGAAAGGAGAGCAAATAATCCTCTCTGTGCTTGTTTCGCTATTAAGCAAAGCAAAGTGAAAGAAACTGCACAGGAAATCCAGTTCCTAGGTACAAAGTTGCAAGATGGATGTTGTCACATCCCAACAGATGAGATCAACAAAATCACTGCTATGTCTCCACCCACCAGCAAAAAAGGGACACAATCTTTTCTGGGCATAATGGGCTTTTGGAGAATGCACATCCTAAACTACAGTCTCACTGTAAGCTCCCTTTATCAGGTGACGCAGAAGTATAATTTTGTGTGGGGCCCTGAGCAGCAGCAAGCTTCTGAACAGATTAAACAGGAATAGCCCATGCCATGGCCCTGAGCCAGTACGGACGAGACAGGATATAAAGAACATCCTCTACACTGCTGCTGGAGAGAAAGGTCCCATTTAAAGTTTGTGGCAAAGAGCCTCAGGAGAGACCCAAGGCTGACCCCTGGGATTCTGGAGTCGACCATACAGAGGGTCTGAAGAGGGCTACACTCCAACTGAAAAGGAGATCTTAACTGCATATGAGGGGGTTCAGGCTGCTTCTGAAGTAATCAGTATTGAAACACAGCTCCTTCTGGCACCTTGATGCCAGTGCTGAACTGGATGTTCAAGGGAAAGGTCCTCTCCACTCATCATGCTACTGATGCCAGCTGGACTAAGTGGATTGCGTTGATTACACAATGAGCTTGGATAAGGAACCTCAGTCACCCAAGAATCCTAGAGGTGATCATGGTCTGGCCTGAAGGTAAAAAGTCTGGAACAGCACCAGAAGAGATATTGCGTGCTAAAGAGGTCCCACCATACAATGAACTACCAGAAAATGAAAAGAAATATATGCCCTGTTCACAGATGGATCATATCATGCTGTGGGGAAGCATCGCAGATGGAAATCTGCTTTGTGGAGCCCTACACAAGTTGCAGAAGCCACCGAAGGGAAAGGAGAATCAAGCCAATTTGCAGAGGTAAAGGCTGTCCAACTGGCCTTAGATCTTAATGGGAGAGGTGGTCAATGCTTTATTTTTACACTGGCTCATGGATGGGTGGCAAATGCCTTATTGGGTAGTTACAGCAGTGGGAACAAAGTATCTGGCAACGGAAGGGTAAATCCATTTGGGTTTCTGAACTGTGGAATGATATTGCTGCCCAAATAAAGGATATGGTTGTAAAGGTGCGCCATGTAGATGCCCACGTGCCCAAGAGTTGGGCTACTGAAGAACAACAAAATAACCATCAGGTAGATCAAGCTGCCGAAATTGAGGTGGCTCAAACAGACTGGACTGACAACACATGGGTGAACTATTTCTAATTCAGTGGGCCCATGAGACCTCAGGCCATCAAGGAAGAGAGGCAATACATAAATGGGCTAGAGACTGAAGAGTGGACTTAACTATGGACACTATTGCACAGGTTATTCATGACTGTGACACATGTGCCACAGTTAAACAAGCCAAGAGGATGAAACCCCTCCAGGGGGAAGAGCGATGGTAAAAGTATAAATATGGGGAGGTGTGGCAGGTTGATTATATCGCCTTGCTACAATCTCGTGATGGTAAGCATTATGTGTTTACCATGGTGGAGGCAAGCAGTAGGTGGCTTGAAATATATGCAGTACCCCATGCTACCACCTGAAACACCATATTAGGTCTCGAGAAACAAGTCCTTTGGCGACATGGCACTCCAGAAAGAATTGAGTCAGATAATGGGACTCATTTCAGGAATTTCCTTGTAAATTCTTGGGCCAAAGATCACAGCACTGAGTGGATTTATCATATCCCCTGTCATGCACTACCTTCTGGTAAAATCAAACGATAGTTTTTAAAAACTATGTTGAAAGCAATGGGTAGTGGAACATTTAAGTACTGGGAGAAGAATTTGGCAGAAGCCACCTGGTTGGTGAATACGTGGGGATTTATCAATTGCGATGGTCCTGCCCAATCTAACTCCCCCCAATCTAACATACAGTAGAGGGAGATAAGGTCCCTGTAGTACGTGTAAAGAGCATGTTGGGAAAGAGGTTTAGATTCTTCCAGCTTCTGGAAAAGTGTTTTTCTTGCTCCGGGATCTGGGTCCACTTGGTGGGTGATGCAGAAAAATGAGGATGTTCAATGTGTAACATAAGGGAATGTGATATTGACTAGTAATTTCATGTATATGTATGTATGTGCATGTGTTTAATGTTTGGTAATTATGGTTTGTTTGTATATATTAAGCCTGATGTAGTGATGTGGAATAATGGGTGGAATGTCATGGCTTTATGATTTTTGGTTATCAGTATTCCACATCATAACATCATGTAGTGCACTGGGAGTTAAAAAGTTAATGCTCCAGTTCCAGTTCCAGGTGCCTGTCCCAGAAGAGAAGAACCACATCTCCCAGAGGACTGTTGGCTGTTCTGCTACTGTTTCCACTCAGAGAAAAAGATAAAAACCCTTGGTAGATTACTTGACCCTCCCTCTTTTCTCTTCTGCTGGGCCCAACTAGACATCTTGTCTTAGCATTAGAGTAAGGCTTTCAGTTTCTGGACAATCCCATTTTTTTTTATCTTCAACTCCACTCATATTGTATTATATTGTGTTACAGTGTGTTATCGGTGATTCTGTGATCTTGCATTCCAATATCTTATTTAGTAAATTAGTTTGTTTCTCTTCAGATGGTTGCCACTGTTTTGTTTTTAGGCCCATCTCGTCCCTTTTTCCCCCTTTCCTTTTCCTGGGGCATGAGTCAATCAGTCTCCCCACCCCACTAGTCAAGGAACCAGGCAGAACCAGCCTGTAAACCACTGACATCCATGGATTAACCTATATCCACATGGCTCTATATGCTGCTAAGTAAATCTGTCCTGAGTGGTTTGTTCACAGCTCTAATTCAAGCAGCTCACAGGAACTTCTGCACTGAGACTATATTTTGCACACAGGATGAAGACATCATCCATTTCATACTGGGAAATTTTGTTTCATACCCACAAAAGTTAGAAAAACTACTGCTAAGAAAGAAAAGTCTAATCCTTCTCATATTACAGTTTCTGGGGACTCTGCTTGAAGAGGGTAAATTCCTACTAGCCAGTGGATTTTTCACTGAGCCCTGACCACAAGTGTGCTTCATCCAAATTAAACACTTCCCTCTCCTCAAAAACAAATCATCAGACAAACAAACACAAAAACAGTAGAACAACCAATTCTCAACAGTAAGTCAGACAAAAAATGTGTTTTTTTTTCATGTTCTTTATGGATACAGAAAAGCTTAGGAAATAGGAAATTAGGAAATAGAAGAAAAAAACAGTAGAACAGCAATCCCCATTCGCAACTCCTTCTATACTAGTAACACAAATAACCGGCTATATTCATCAACTGTCTACCTTCACATAACTCACTTTTCATCCTTTTTGCAAATTCTGTATTTTGTTAATGTTTTCTTTCTCCAAACTTACAGTTTTCTGATTACTCCTGCTCACTCATCCCCCTTTCAACTCAGTGATTTTGTAATTATTGTTCTGTATTTCAAATATTCAAAGCACCTTCCAATTTGCTTACAAGTTTTTACTATAGTGTTACTAGGCAAAATATCCCTGTCTTTGCCACAGATGACTTACTCCATCACAGCTGTTTGACAATATGAGTAATATTTCTATTGCATACAAAAATATCATTAATTGTTATTTTTCTTCAGTGATGTAACGCAGTTCTGACAAGTTGGAAGAACAAGCAGGTTATACAAACATTTCCGTTTTCCTTGCTATGTGGAATGAAAATAACAGTCGTGTTGACAATACACCTTTGGGGAGCCAGTTCATGAAAGAACAGTTAAAGTGACTGTTCCTTTTGTTCTTTTCAAAATAGCAACTGCTTCCTCATGGGTCACCCCTTCTAAACTCTGCCCATTCACAGCAATAATTTGATCCCCCCTCTTCAGGCGTCCATCTTCTGCTGCTGCACCCTGAAACAATACAAGATGTAATTGTAGACTCATCCATTTATTTTTCTCTGTCCTACACATTCATTATGGTCTGAATTAGATGAGTTCAGTGTACAAATACCCTTAAACCTTTTTCAGCTGTCAACGATTCAACTACAATCAATCCCAGATTAACCTACTAGTGTTTCAGTATGTTCTGCATTCTCTAGATGTCACAACACTTAGAAGCTGGACCTATGTGATTTTTTATATTTCTTTAATCCTGACAGTCTACCTAATATAACTTTTAAAACTCCAACACAATAAGATTTCAAGACCTGAAAAATCTTTCAACAACTGGTATTAGAAATCTCATAGTCAAAACCCAGTTCAGTACTTTGACTAACCACAAATTTTTGGGATTCTTGACTACAGTTTTTCATGACTTGGGGCTCTCCCAATGGCAGGCCGAAATTCAAAACTGAGTTAGTTCCTGAACTTCTCCATAGGTCCCAAATGAGTTCAATTATTATATGTTAGTCTAGTTTTCAGACTCCCAGTGAAAATAAATACATTGGTTCCTTTTATTACTTGAAGAAAAAGTATCTGAACGTTTACTATTTTTAGAGTTGAAAAAGATTCTGCCATATGCTGTCACATGCATTTGGAAATTTTGAATCTTCCTATAACTTCAAAACCTGCAAGATCTTTTTGAACAGAACTTGCACTGGGCAAGAAAAGCTGTGAAGAAAAACTGTTTGCAATCCTTTGGTCTCAAACTCAGGTCTTATTTTAAGAAACTACCTACTGTGAACTAATAAATGGATCAACTGAACAAATATACTCTTACCTTTGCAAATACTGTCTTCACATAAATGGGTAAATCTCCATGGGGACTGCCATATCCCCCCACAATACTAAAGCCTAGGCCATCTGGTCCTCTTTCCAGAGTAATGGTCTTGTACTGAGGAGGTCTAATGAAACAGAAAACAATATTGCTATGTTGTCTAAATAAATGATTTACATTCGAATGCTGTCAACAAAAAGCATTTCACCTTTTTAGATAAGCAATACATCTTCCTTTTGCTTCTTTTCCACTGTAAATATGAACTTTATGAATATTTTTGTTAATGCAGAACACTAATTCTGTCTAATGTCCCCATTCAAGTAAGTATTTCAAATACTTCTTTCATACTGTTTTCACCCAGCTCAGAAGATGGTTACTGCTGCAATGTTGCACTAATGGTGCTTAGCGGGTACACAGATCTAATACAATTATCTCAAATGTTTATAATGATCACATACTTTAAAAAACCCGTAACTCAAAATATGACTCATAGTTACATTGCAAGGTTTAATTGCTTTTCTCCTTTTCTGAGATATGATTGTGCATTTGTGTATGTGTTCATACAGACAATTTATAGTACATCTTCAAACATGTACTTAGACTACATAAACATTTGAAGTTCTATCTTTTGAAGAGTGTAGGTTGCTTCAAAAGTAATGTCTCCTGTTTATTTCTGTGGAAAGTACAGCAAGGAGCACAATAACACTATCTGACAGAGCAAATTCTCAGCTACAAAACCATTTTTCCACATGGTCATTACCATTAACCATACATTTTTGCCAGCAATGAACAAGAGCCTGCATGCTGCATTGATAAAAATCTGCATTAGTGGAAACGACCCACTGTCACCACTATTAAAATGCATCACCCACTGTCTCACTGTGCTTACATCCACTGTTAGGTTACCATAAACATTCAGCATCACTGAATGTCAGTGGATGCCATTTACTCCACATGGAGGAATTCAAGGACACCTTTTTTTCCTACTGGCTTCTATGTCAGACACCATTTTGCCGGATTACCCATTGCTGCCATCAGTCACATGATGACAAAATGTAACCGATATTGGCAGGAACATTCAACTTCTACTGCCATACCACCAACATCTGCCCCTGATGTTGTGGGCCAAAATAATAAAATAAGGAGGCATTACTTTTAGGGCAGCCCTCATATTCTGTGAAGCTAAAGAATATCATTCTCTCTTCCAGTGCTCATAGAATAAAAATGTCTCAAATTGATAACCTACATTGAGGCAACTCTTCTTTACACTGCTGGCTTTTGTAGTCTACCAGAAGTGGTATACCACGTACACGTGAAAAGTTCAATATCTCTTGATATTCTAGTGCTAGAAAGCACAGTAAAGAAAGTACCACTGTAGAAAGGACTTGGCTATTTAAGCCTGAATACAGTCATTTTGGGCAAATCAACTAACCTGAGCTGCCAAGGCTCAAAAAAGAATTTATTTAAAGAGAAAAATTCAAGACACATTTTAATTCCAAAGTATACAAGAAAAAAAGCAGCAGTGAACTGCACCATGGAATAATGCAGAACGGGACCTACAAGGTGCCAAATATACCAAAGGTAATTAAGTCAAACAATTCATCAGTTATCTGATGGAATTAGTACACATTTTATGCCAAGTTTCACTTCAAGTAAAAGGCTACCAAGGTTGTGTATTATATAGTTACCGACCCTAAATCATCCTGAAAAATGCTTGTTGAAGTTAGTCCTGCAAATGAAAGACTGGATGTAGGTAGATCCTGCTGCTGACCAGTTATGACACTCACATCTCCTCCAGCTACCACCTAAGGAGAGAGTTCAGTAAAATGAATTTTAAAAAGTCTGTAAAATGAGAATGGTGATACTGAAATAATTCACCATAACAATTGGCAAAATAACAGTTAGAAAATATTCCAGACAATACTAAAGATTTTTTTTTTACCTGCAACTCAATAGTGCCTGAAGCATTTTTTAAGATGTTAACAGCTTGGGAGTGAGTCATGCCCTCAGTAGATGTTCCACAGATGCTAACAATCCTGTCCCCAACCTGTAGAAGAAAATCTTGATAACATAACTAGCAGTAAGAGGTTTAGCTGCATAGATACATTTAGCGTTTTCTTTTGATAACAGCAGATTTGAGTATCTGGATTTAGCTAGAAATTATCGCTATATCTAGTGACACATAGCAGAAAGAAAGTAATAAGCAACTCTTTGGTACATTTTCTCTCAAAGACATAACATCAAGTTACATAATGAAGTGACACAAAGGTAGGAAATCTGACATAAAAACTTGCAAATTATTGCTTAGCTGTAGTGTGTTCAGAGTAAAAAGTAATTTACAGAATGGATCTTAATACTCTAGAATCATATAGCACATCACCTGAATATAGATAAGTTGAAGTGATAGATTATCATAAGAGAACATATGTTTAAATTCATCCTGAACCAACACTGTACATTCTTCAAATAAGATTAGTTTAATTTCACAATTTCTGGTCCTCTATATAGGTAAGCACTGCGTGAGTTGACACCTCCTGCGTTAACTCAGAATCAAAAAAAGAACTGCTCTTATTTTAAGATAGAAAAACAGAGAAAACATGAGGTATGAAGAAAACTGCATAGATGCAGTTACACAAATAACTCATCTCTGTAGCTCACTTGCAGGATTCTGAACCAGATTTCCTATCATGAATTTTTAAAAGCTCACCACTTCTATGATCCAAGACTGCCTTAAGACTTGTTTCTGTAATTAATATTTTTCACCAGTTACCTTTTACCGAGCTACAGACATGACTTAGTTCATAGTCACTGGAAACAGCAAAAATTGTTACCAGTCAGATTCACTCAAGACTGTATCATTAAACTGGCACCTTATTACCTGCCTAGTGTTGTTATTGTGCCCATGTAATCTTTACAACTGTCTTAGTATCAGCTGGGACAGAGTTGTTTTTCTTCACAGTGCGTGGTACAATGCTATGTTTTGGTTTTAGGAGAAAAACAATGTTGATAACACACTAATGTTTCTAGCTGTTGTTAAGCAGTGTCCTACAGAGCCAAAGACGTTTCAGTTTTCTCAGCTTCTCCTATTGTCCTGCTAGTAAGGGGGCTGGGGCTACAAGCAGCTGGGAAAGCACAGTATCAGGAGAGTCAACCTAAACTGACCAACAGGATAATCCATACCATATGATATCTGGCTTGTATCAGGAGTAGTGTGGTAAGAAGGATTAGGAAGTAATCCTGCCCCTGTACTCAGCACTGGTTAGTTTAGTCTGGGAAAAAGGAGGCTGAGGGGAGACCTCTTCCAATATCTAAAAAGTGCTTACAGTGAGAGTGAGGCTGGTCTCTTCTCACTGGTGACAGGTCAACAGTATGAGGGGAAATGGCCTCCAGTTGCACCAGGGTAAGTTTAGGTTGGATATCAGGAAAAACTTCTTTACAGAAAAGGTTGTTAAGCACTGAAATAGGCTCCCAGGGAGATGGTTGAGTCACCATCCCTGGATGTGTTTAAAAACTGTTTGGATGTGGCGCTCAGGGACGTGATTTAACAGAGGGTTGTTAGAGTTAGGGTAGTATGGTTATAGGCTGCAGGTGGACTTCATGATCTTGAAGGTCTTTTCCAACCTGAGCAATTCTATGATTCTGTGATATCATGCAGAAAGCTTTAAAAAGGAGAAGCTCAGGGGACAGCTGGCTGCTGCTTCAGAACTAGCTGAGCATCAGTTGGCAGGCGATATGCAATTGCTTGTTCATCACTTGTTATATATATACAGACATGCACAATTATTGTAACTATTTTCCTTTTTTTTCTCTTACTTATCTCTATCTTAATAAATACTTTTAATCTCAACCCATGAGCTCTATGTTTTTGTTGTTGCTGTTCTCTCCCTCATCCCACCCAGGAGGGAGTAATGAGCAACAACTCTGTGGTGCTTTGCTATCCTCCAGGTTAATCCACAACAGTCATTTTGGCGCACAAAGCGAGGTTTGAAGGACTGAGATAACAACAGATCTGACCAGAGAAAGAACACAGGGTTTCAGAGTGTTGTATCAGTTTCATAATTGCTAGTGACGATGCTCATTTTTTTATTATCTGGGGAGCCATTTGAGTGTCTTCTCATGGAACTATGTTGTTTAGTATCTTGCTTGCTGTTTGTTTGCCCTGTTGCATTGTTTGTCATCTCCCAGGGCTGAATTAAGGCTTTTATTTTGTTATGCTTTATAGCCTTGGCTATGTTATGATAAAACTGCTAGTCAGGAAACAATATGATGTTTGTACTCAGCACTGCAGCCACCTCTGGGCTTTGGAGGCTATTAGTAATTTCACATTTTGCTTTGTCTCCCTGAGGAGCCTGGCTACAGAGGAGACTGAGAAGGATATTTTGTAGCAGTTTCTCAGCCTGCTTTTCTCTTTCACCCCTCCTTCTACCCCTAGACTAATTACAATAGCTCTTGAGGATTTTGAATATCCCTGGGATGTTCAAACCAGCATGATCCTATTGCAATGTGTTGTGAATATGTTTTGTTTAAGATTAAATATTTTTTTTTTAAGAAAATCACCAAGAGATCTGCCCCAAGGCTGGATAATTATGAGTGCCAGGGAGTGTAGGATGGTATGGGCGGGTGTCTAGAGCAGTAGGCACTCCCACTGTTTTGCAACTTCACACCTGAACAACTGCAGAATCCTGAAAAAACAGCAGAATATTTGGAAAAGGTCTGCTGTCAGTCTATCAACTTTAGAGAGGCACAAATCACTGCAGCATGCTGGGGTCAGGCACATGCCTACCCAGGCCTGTTCAACACTATTCAGTATCCAGAAGATGATCTGCATCCAGAGCAACTGCTTCAACACCCGTGACAGACCCTGAGACAACTCCTATCCCTGCAACCGGTCTTGTGGTTGCTCCAAGCGTTGTGGACACTGTGGCAGCTCCAAACTCTGTGGTGGACCCTAACTTAGCTCTAACCTGACAGACCTTGCAATTACTCTAGCCCTTTTGGCAAGCCCTCAAAGCTGTCACAGATCCTCTCAGCCAGCACTGTGGTAAATCCAATCCCTGTGACAAGCTCCACAGTTCAACCAGTGCCAGTATCACTTGCCCCTATAAAAAAGATTAAAAATGTTAATGAAAGTCAGATCCTCTAGAATTATATAATGGCCTGGATGGAAAAGGACCTCCAAGATCATCCAGTGTCAACCCCAATGCTGTTGGGCCGGGTTGCCAACCAGCAGACCAGGCTGCCCAGAGCCACATCCAGCATTAGCAAGCAGAGAAGCTCCTACTAAGTGAGAAGAAGAAGGTGAAGATGAATTGGGAACATCTCAAAAACAGCAAGAGGAGGAAGAGACAAAAAACACCCGACTTCTAACACTGCCGCAAGATTCTCACAGAATTCTCCTGGGGAAACTGCCTGCCTGTGGCCTAGACAGGTACACCCTTTTTTGGGTAAGAAACTGGGTAGAGGGCCATGCCCAATCAGTAGCAGTTAATGGAGTTAAGTCCAGCTGGTGACCTGTTACAAGTGGTGTCCCCCAGAGGTTGGTACTGGGGCCCGTCTTGTTTAATATCTTTACTGATGACTTAGATGAGGGGATTGAGTGTACCCTCAGTAAGTTTGCAGATGACACCAAATTGGGAGGTGGTGTTGATCTGCTTGGGTACGGAGGCCCTTTTCAGAGGGACTTGAAGAGTGAACAGAGTTTGGAGGGCAACAAAACTGGTGAGGCGTCTGGAGTATAAATCTTATGAGGAGCAGCTGAGGAAGCTGGGATTGTTTAGTCTGGAAAAGAGGAGGCTCAGGGGAGACCTCATTGCACTCTATAACTTCCTGAAGGGAGACTGTGAAGAGGAGGGGTTTGGCCTCTTCTCCCAGGCAGCAAACAGGACCCGAGGAAATGGCCACAAGTTGTGCCAGAGGAGATTTAGATTAGACATAAGAAAAAGCTTTTTCTCTCAGGGAGAAGTCAGGCACTGGAATGGCCTGCCCAGGAAGGTGGTGTCCCTGGCAGTGTTCAAGAGGCGTCTGGATGAGGAGCTACAAGATATGGTTTAGTAGCTTGTGGTAGCAATGGTAATGGATGGGTGATTGGACTAGATGATCTTGTAGGTCCTTTCCAACCTTGTGATTCTATGATTCTATACATGAAAAGATCATGGCCATCAGCCAGGCAGATCCTACACAGCTGCTCTGGTGCTGAGACAGTGGTGCCAATAACCTGGACTTAGCAGGCAGCAAAGCCCAGCAGCTGGGATCTCCTTCTAGGAAAAGTAGCACTGAGAAAGCAAGCGGAAAGCATATACAGTCTTTCACTCTATGGCAGTGACTCTTGTCAGCTGGGAAGGAAAGACATCCCTTCAAGGAAGCCCCAGTACGTTACTCAAGCTAAAGGATCACCATGGTGAAAGTACTTGAAGGAATGTGCTGTGGTAGAGGTGATGTACGATATTAGCTTGGATGATAATGCTCTATTCCAGATGACATCACACGTACATAAACTATGTGATGGAGTGCTGTATGGAATGCACCACCATTGTCTGCCAGAATCCTGCCAGGAGTGATTTGGAAAGATAACAAAAGAATGGTGGATAGATGATGTGGCTTGCCTAATTTTACAAAATGAAGATTATCTCTTTTCCTCCCAAGAGACCTGTGTCTCAGGTATGGTTCAACTGGTTCAACAGCTTCAGGAAAAGAAACAGGTTCAATCTAATCAGGAAGAGGATATAATAGTGGGTACATACCACACGCTATTCTGTGGTTTTACCTGTATGATCATGGAGAGGAAGTGGAATGGAAAACCTGTGTCGATTCTGGCCTCCATGGATACATGAGTTGCATGGAAAAACACAAGAGAGGGTTCTCCTCAAAAAATGGCAGCTCTTGTTTCCAATGGGCAGATCTCTAATCAGAGTAGGTGGTCTGACCTTACTTCTGAGGTTAATAATGTGCCTTCTGGTTTAATACACATTTTTTCACATAATTTCTATTCATCAGCTGGCAAACCAAGAAGTAATCAGCAAGATTCAGTTACCCATCAATAATCACATACGGACAGTGTTAGCCTCCACTCTTCATTAGAATTTCACAATGGACTATTGTGGCCTGAATGAAGTCACATCACTGCTATGTGCTGCGGTGCCAGACATACTAGAACTTCAATATCAACGGGAGACAAAGGCAGCTGAGTCGTATAGCAAGAATGACATTGCTGATGTGTTTTCCTCAATCCCTCTGGTGGTAGAGTGCAGGCCACAATTAACTTTCACCTGGGAGGGCATCCGGTACATTAGGAAACAACTCCCCCAGAGCTGGAAACACAGCCCCGTCATTTGCCATGGGCTGATGCAGACACACTGGAAAAGAGGCGAAGCTACTGAATGTCTGCAATGCATTGATGATATAATTACAGAAACATTGAATAGCTGGGATTAGAAGGGATCATCTAGTTCCAATCCTCTTGCTATAGGAAGGGACACATTCCACTGGACCAGGCTGCTCAGAGCTTCATCCAGCCTGGCCATTTAAACCTCCAAGGAAGGGGTACTCACAACCTCTTTGGGCAAGCTGCTCCAGTTGTCTCACCACCCTCACAGTATATAATTTCTTCCTAATATCTAGCAAATCTACCCTCTTTCAGTTTAAAGCCATTCCCCTTCATCCTGTCACTACATATCCTTATAAAACGTCCCTCCCCAGTCTTTCTGTAGGCTCCCTTCAGGTACTGGAAGGCCACTATAAGATCCCCTGGAGCCTTCTCTTCTCCATGCTGAAGAGCTCCAGCTCCCTCAGACTGCCCCCACAAATGAGGCCTTCTAATCATCCTCCTGGCCCTTCTCTAGACACACTCCAACAGCTCACAGTCCTTCTTGCACTGGGGGGATTGGAACTGGAAGCAGTATTCCAGGTGAGGTGATGAGAAGAAATATGCCTTGTTCACTTATGAGCCCTGTCATAATGTGGGAAGGTATCAGAGGTGGAAGGCTACCTTTTGGAGCCCCACTCAATGAGTTGCTAAAGCTACAAAAGGAAAAAGTGAATTGAGTCAATTTGCAGAAGTGAAGGCTGTTGCCATACATGTTACAGTCATGCTGTATCACCCTTTGCTTAACTGATCAATCCCCAGATCAGGACCAAGAACTGCCAGCATACACCAATGTGGTGAGAACAGAAAAATGGTGTTTATTACTGCGTGGCATTTGTTTAAATACATTCATCTTCTACTTCGTCTACACCCCTTAAGCATGCATTGTCCAATCACTGAGCAGGGGACGTCCTGTCGCGTCACATCCTGATAGCCCTGTGGGTGCCTAATACAACAGGCTGTTCAGCTGGCTTTAGATATTGCTGAACAAAAGAATTGGCAGTTGCTCCTGAGAGGTGGCAAATGCCCTGAGGATGATTATAGCAATCGAAGCATAGCAACTGGCAGCATAGAGGCAAACCCATCTGGGCTGCTATATCAAGGAAAGATTTTGCTGCCTGGTAGACAATATGGCTGTAAAAGTTTGTCAGGTAGATGTCTACGTACCCAAGAACCAGGCCACTGAAAAACAGGAGGATAAGGCTGCTAGAATTGAAATGGCTCAGGTAAATCTGGACTGCCAACATACGGATGAATAATTTCTAGTTCAGTGGGCCCATGACATCTCAAGCCATCAAGAAAGAGATGCAACCTACAGATGGGCTCAAGATCAAGAGGTAGATTTTACAATGGACAACACTACTGAACAGGTTATCCATGAATGTAAAACGTGCTGCAATTAAGGAAGCAAGCAGACAAAATTCTCTGGTATGGAGAACAATGGCTGAAATATAAATACAGGGAGGCCTGGTAAGTGAATTGTATCACACCCTCACAAACTCGGCAAATGCCATGTGCTTACAATGGAAGCAACCACAGCATGGCTGGAAAAATCCTATGTCCCACAACACCACCTGAAATACTAATCTGGATCTTGAAAAGAAAGTCTTGTGGAGACATGGCATCCCAGAAAGAACTGAGTCAGAAAATGGGACTCATTTCTGAAACAACTTCGTAAACATTTGAGCCAAGAGCGTGGCTTTGAGTGGGTATATCACATCCCCTACCTTGCACCAGCCCTGCTAAAATCCAATGACAGAATGGACTGTTAAAGACTATGCTGAAAGCAGTGGGTGCCCATTTGTAGGACTGCTTTTGCTCAAGGACTTGGATGCACTTGGTGGGTAATATAGAAGGATGGGGATATCCATTGTGTACCTCAAGTAGATTTGATGCTGGGTGAGAACAGCCAATAATTTGAGTTGCATGATGCTAACTGCTATGTAATACTGCATGTAATAATTACCATGGTTGTTATATACCTTATCAACAGTACTACAATAAGAACCACTTAAAGAAGAATGAATTCTGATGGAGTCAGAACTATCTGCAGCATGCAGTAATCCAACACCATGAATCATCCCTCCTGCACTGAAACCACAACATGAATGATTAACTTACCCTGAGTTTCTGAGTGTGAGCTGCAAGTCCATTGGGATGCATCATGGCAATAAATATAGGAATATCTCCAAGAGGACTTCCTACACCTCCAGCAATGCTCACTCCTAGCGAATCTCCTGGGCCCTGTTGTTGCCATGAAAATAAATAAATAAATAAATAAATAAAATTTTTCTGGAAGGAAAAATACATATAGAATTGCAGGCTTGTCTTACAAATCCTATTTCATGAAAATCAGAATGACTTTGCCTCAAGCCATTTTTTGAAGTTGATACATTTGAGGAAAGCACAAAGAACACAGTATTTAGTGGCAGTTGATCCGCTGTCTCATCTGTAGTTTTTTCTGGCCAAACTGAATACTTACAGAAATCAGCATATCTGGGCAAAGAAAACTGTACACACAAGAGTAATTGTCCTTTATCATTAATCTCCTTCTATTGACCCCCTAAAGATCAGAACAAAACTAGCTATTCGCTGCTGTAAAACACTCAACTACCTAATCACCAGAACCGCTATCATGAATTAACAGATTCTGCTGGATGAAGAGAATTGCTAAACACAATCCTGCAATCAAGAAAAAAAGATACCAGGCAAAATCAAATAAAACATATGTGTTTTAGACAATCAGAAATAGTCTGCAGCTCAGCTCTCATGCTCCTATAAATAACAGAAGTCAACTGAATTTCAGTTGAAAAGCTAGAATCTGTCATGTAAAAGCCTACTCATTAAAAATACGCGTTAAGACAAATATGAAATCCAAAACAATGGACTTGAACATTTGGTACAGTTCCCACGTCTTCCCTAAAACTCAGTCTAGATTTAACTCCATTTGATAAAAGTAGAACTACCCATTACTTCATACCATAATTCTCTTTCCCTTTCTTTTAAATTTGATGGTGTAAGTCACACTTATTTTACGTAAAAATAAAAGCACTGGAAATCACACTGTGAAAAAAATTAAATATTACCACACCAACTCCTGTAACTTACCTTTTTTATTTCAATTGTTCTTAGTCCCTGTATTTCAGAAGCTGCTGTTAAACAGATTAAAAAGAAAAGGTGAACTATCATCTTAAGAAATTTTTTCTACAAAAGTTGTCCAAACCACTACGATGATTTCAGCTTTCTCTATTTTATTATGTTTTTAAAGTTTTTGAAATTAGTTGCTAGTAGGATTTAAATACTATTAATAAGATTGAAATATTTCTAGAACAGTTCAGAAAGCTATTCATTCTCTCAATTCTAAAAATGTTTAGATTAATATCACTAGGTAATCCCCAAATATAATAGAAAAATTATTATTTGATAGCAATACTTGGCTCAGGAATCACTTTACTGTAAATCTGATCACTGGAGATCTATTCCATATCTGTTCTACAGGAGCTGCTAATATTTTATTATGTTGGCCCACAATGTCAGAGGCAGATGTGGGTGGTAAGGTAATAGAAGTCAAACTGGAGGTCAATATTCCATTACATTCTCTTGTCCTTAGACAGATAGCAGCAAAGAGGCAGTGTGACAAAATGGTGTCTGACATGAAAGTGAGTGCAAGATTAAAACATGTGGGACTAATGCAGACAAAAAGGTACCCACTGACAAAATTGATGCTTGCTGAGTGTTTATAGAGACCAAACAGTGGATGTGAGCACAGTGAGGCAGTCGGTAGTGCATTTCAGCAGTCATGACTGCAGTGTGAAAGATAAGCTATGTTCTGGGTAGCCATGCACAACTTTCACATCAGAAAAAGTTGATCAGCTTATCCACACAAACTGGCCAATTACAACCAGGGAACTGTGTATGGAGCTGAATATCAGTTTCATTGTGTTGGAAGGTACGGTGACAATGCTGGAATATCATAAAGTTTAAACCAGGTGGGTCCCATAAATGCTTGCAGGAATAGAAAAAACACAGCATGTAAATTTGTCAGGACGTATGGAACCAATAGAATGAAGGTGACAGTTTCCTGGATCACAACATTACAGGTGACAAGATGTGGCAGCCCATGGAATGGCAACACAAATATTCTCCACTGAAAAAAAAAAATATATTAAGACACAGTCTTCGGTGGATAAGGCGATGTGGACTGTCTTTTGGAATAGAAAAGCGATGATCCTTCTGGAATTCCTACAACCCAGACAAATCATAAACTTTGACAGCTCCATCACAATGCTGCATAACCTGAAAGCTCTAACTTCCACAGTAAGGCCAGAGAAGACAAATTTTCTCCTGCAACGTGACAATGCCAGGCCTGACACCAATTTGAAGACTATGGAGCATGTTGTCAGTCTTGGTTGGACTGTCGTACTACACCCATCACATAGTCCAGACTTGGTGCCTTCTGATTTCCATCTGTTTTGGCCAGTGAAGATGGACTGTACGAGCAACATTTTCCTAGTGATAACACAATCATAGCTGCTGTGAAATAGTGGATCACTTCCACTGGTGCAGATTTTTACTTTACTACTCTATTAATGTAGGTGACTATGTTGAAAAATAATGCTTTGTAGCTCAGAATTTGCTCTATCAAATAGTGTTATTGTGATCCTTATATCTGTTGTAGTTTCCATGGAAAAAAATAGGAGGCATTATTTTTGGAGGAACCTAAATAATTAAACTACAGTGTCCAGAACTGACCACATATTTCCCAAAAATGAGACAGAGAGTGTAATTATTCAATATTCTCAGACTAAATAAAATTTCTAGGTAAATTTAGACCCTCATCATCTAAACTGCTGGTGTAACAACTTTAGTTTTTTTTACAAGTAATTTTAAAAGATATACAATGTACAGTATAACAACAACTCCTGTGGCACTTCAATGACACTGTCAAGTCTACAGTATATAACAACAAAGCATTAGAGAATATCTCATTATTATTATTATTATTATCATAGATATAAACAAGAGGAAGGAACAAAGAAATCTTACCAGTATTCTTCTTCAGACCACTTTCAAGGACCTCAGGTGCGGTGGAAGCAGAAGCTGGAATGCTGAAGGATGAGAGACTGCCACTTCCTTCACTGACCTAAATATGTTAAACTAGGATTATTGAGCTGCCTCAGACTCCCAGTTTGATAAAAGTAAAATTATATGCCACTGTATTCAGTGTATTTTACTGCATTTTTCTGCTACTTTTTCTGTGCACAGTTAAAGCTGACACACCAGACCTCCATATACCTCTTGAACAATAGATAGCTCCTTACTTGAAATATCATTAGGACAACACAGATTGCATTACTACAGCTCCACGTAATGTTCTACTTTCAAGGACCAGACTGTACCCCTATTCCCACACATTCTATCAGTTCAGGAGACCATGTGGCAAAAAAAGATAGCCACTATTATTATGGTAGGGAAACAATACATAAGACAGAACTTCATGCATCCCCATGCCTATCTCACATTCTTCCAGACACTCCATCAGCTAAAACTACAGTGTCCACTCAGGTTCACCTACACATTTCCTGAAAGATTTTCACTACACCTGCAGGACAACATAAAGGAACAACATAGCTCACTCCTACAGATTCTTCAAAACATTCAATACGGTAAGCCTCCTCTTACTCAACAGCTTAAATTAAGACCACTCAGAGCCTGCATGTTTTCAAGTGGGTTGGGATTATCCCTTTTTGAAGAAAGACATTTCAGTCTTTGTCCAGTTTTAACCTACTCACTTCAAACTTAAAAAAAAGTTCCTGTTTAATTATATTCAGCCAATAATCTGCATACTCAATTTAGAATGACAACAAGTTCTAAGGTAACTAGCGAGTTTTCAGAAATTGCTCCTACTGGAAATCCTGATGGAGAGATCTGCAAAGAATCACAGTGATCTGATATTCCATGACACATGCACTCAGATGCAGAAACTGATGTGAGCTGTCATACTTTACAGTTAACCAATGACAAAATAAATAAACTTAAGAAAGTCTAATGAAAAGAGAGCAGATTTCCTGCTTTTGGTGACCAAGATTATGGTAAGAGTATGAAAGGAGCAGAGAAATTCACTAAGTTTATTGGAACAACACTCCACTCCACCACTAAGGTATCAAAGAAATTCAGTGTCCACTCAAATTTGTTCTAGTATTCATGACACTAGCAGTTGACACTGCTTCACAAACAAGAGTACTAACAGCAACACTAGACAAGACAGAAGAGTTATTTTTGGAATAAACTCTAGGCTGGATAATGCATTTAACAGATTACAAACTAAAACAAACATACAAAAGAGCTAACAAAAATCTGCAAAGTATGCAGAACCATAAAATGGGTTGGGTTGGAAAGGACCTTAAAGATCAACTACTTCCAACCCCCTGCTAAGGGCAGGTTTGCCACCCTCTAAATATACACCAGAACAGGCTGCCCAGGGCCTCATCCAGCCTAGCCTTGAGTATCTCCAGGAATTGGAGATCCACAGCTTTCCTGGTCCACCTGTTTCAGCACTTCACCATCCTATGAAAGAAAAATTTTCCCCTAACATCTAAACCTGAATTTACTACTTTTATTCATCTTGTGTGTGGAAAATCTCTGTCATCACAAAATCAGTTCTTTTTACTTGCTTTCATTATTCCACCACATTTTATTTCACAGTTACAAACCTGACTGCTCTGGGATGTTCTCCTCTCAGAGTGGAATGGACCAGCTTTTATTCTTCCAACCTCTAGTCTTACTGTACCTAATGAACACTAAAAAGAAGTCATGATAAATCTCTAGTACCCAAAACATTAAAGCTTATGACAATATTTACTTGGTAGAAGAAAAAATAGGGACAGAGGGTAAAATATAAGGTTAACAACTCTGTATAATGAGAACTGTACAGACAACGATCATGGAAGAATCAGAATCATACCAACTGTGATTGAATGATATTACTGGTAGGGTAGTATAGCATTCCAGTACAGACACAAAGACTATACAAGAAGCACAAATCTGTTACCTTTTCCTTAATACGTAGTTTTGGCTTCTAAGTAGTAACATCAACACGTACTTTCAAGATGACATTTTTCAAAGAATTATAGTAGTGGAGTACTTTCACAATAAGTACAACAGCATTACAAAACTTCAAAGTATTGATTAATATTTTTGTTGATACAGAATCATAGAATTATGGAAGCTTTAGAGTTGGAAGGGACTTCTGAAGGCCATTTACTCCATCTCCCCTATAATGAACAGGGACATCCACAGCTGGATCAGGTTGCCCAAGGTTTTATCCAGCCTTGCCTTGAAGGTCTCCAGGGACGGGGTATCAACTACATCACTGGGCAACCTATTCCAGCGCCTCACCACCCTCACTATAAAAGATTTTTTCCTTTTATCTAACCTAAATCTACCCTCTTACACCTGAAACCATTTCCCCTTGTTCTGTCACCATAAACCCTGCTAAAGAGTCTGTCTCCTTCTCTGTAGCTCTCCTTTAGATTCTGAAAGGCCTTTTTTCCAGTCACCGGGGACTTCACTTGATTGCCATGACTTTTCAGATGTCATAGAGTGGCTTAGCAATTACATCAGTCAACCCCTTGAGACTCTAGGATGAATCTCATTGGCACCCATAGACTTGCGTATGTTCAGGTCCCCTCAGCTGGTCAGGAACCTGATCTCTGCTTACAGTGGGAGGGACGTTGCTACCCGGATCCTCTTCTACCAAAACAAATGTTTGAGGGTTGTGGGGTGAGAAATTATCAGAGAAGACTGAGGCATTTTCTTTTTACTCTTCAATTTGACCAGCAGGGCCTGGTTCAGCCACAACCAGTCTCTTGCCTTTCTTTTCTGACTTGCTACCCCTGATAGTATGGTATATCAACTGATATTTTATCACTTTTGCTCATGAAATTACCTGTTACTTCTAGATCCACACTAACATAAATAGAAGGACCAGGGGCAGGCAGTTTTTCAAATAACCACCTGTAATTTAAGTGACTTTCTACATCTGACTCCCATCAGGAACTAAAGTGATACAAATTGTTTATACACTGCAAAATCCTACTGTTAGGCAATGAGTACTTAAATGTACAACTGGGTATTCGTACATCTGCATGGAATGCATATCTCAGAACAAAATTCACTATGCAATCAACCATTTGTTGAGTGAGAGATGCCCTCATCTCCACTGACAACCCTTACATGAGGTCTGGGAAGAGGTGGATCCTGACTTCACACCTTCCAGTCATTCAGGTGCATTGCATGCACCTGAGCTCCCCTGATTGGCCCTGCCTTCCCAACAAATGCTCAATCATTGTTTCAGGCTGTGACTTAGCACTTCTGCGACGTTACTGTAGCCAGCATATCTTATAAACATTCTCTTAGAGGTGACATTAGAAGAGATTTATTACTAAATTGTCTTTTTTTTTTTTTTTTTTTTCCAAATAATGCTGTCTGGTCTAGTGGTTGGTCACCCTGCACATAGCAGTGGAGCTAGATGGTCATTATGGTCCTTTTCAATCCAGGCCATTCTATGATTCTATGATTTATATGTCCTGGAAAAGACTTGATCAGGGCTTAGGCTAAAACAGTCTTTTCTGATTGCTTGAATTGGCTCACATTAAACCACACAGAAAAGTGAGGCAGTAATCTATATACCTAAAACAACCACATCCTCACATAAAAGGCAAACCTACAAATGAGATTTAAAAATTATTATGTGTGAAGGTAAGAGGTAACACTTTCCACCTGAACTTGTGATTAAGTGAATTAACAGTCTATTATGGTTCAATCTTTTTTTCTGGAGTCTTCTATGTGACAAACCCTTCAGTCAAATAAGGAAGCAAAACTATCGAATTTTCACATATTTCAGGGATACTTAGAAAGCAAAACTAAACACTGTTAGAATAGGATGCATTTTCAGCTTAAGGATACTTTCTGTTGTTTTTATATCAGCTTACAGATTTTCTAAAGATTGTAAATAACTTAATCAAAAATATATGTTAGGCAATACAAGATAGTTCCCTATAGATCTAACTCCTGTGAATGGAAGCAGAATGGATACCTGAACTAAAAATGATGATTGCCTGTATGTGAGTTTATTCCATTTGTACTCTGTGAAAGAAATAGAACTGTTAATAATTATATACATGAAATATTTTGAAAGTCACATTTCACAGGACTAACAAAAAAAAAAATTTAAAAGCTTGAGGAGCTGTTGAAGATCTGGAAAAATTTAACTGTGCATGTAATGTAAACAAGAGTAATTGTGTCTGTGTACCAAACAGTTAGCTATGAATAGTGGCTGTTAAAATTTTTCAAGTGGAACATTTTCATTGGAAAATGATGACTCACTGGAATCTTGATATAAAGCAGGAATGTCTCAATACTCTAAACAGAAGACAGACAAGTTGGCTACCAGCTGGACATCCAGCTAAACCACAGGAAATGTTGCATATATGACTTCATTCTGATTTAGAAGTTGAGAAAGGAGATCCGATACACAAAATCTACTGAGAACAGAAATTCTGGTTCTAAGAGCAGCAGACAAGAGGTTACTTCAGTTATCTTGGTGGGAAAGCAATTTCTTATGCTAGATGCCTTTCTCACTGAGAAAGGCATTATAACATTCAGTTGATGTAAGGTGACAGTAAATATAAGCAGGGAAAAATAAAAAAACATTAACTTTGTAAGTAATCACCTTTCGGTATAACTACTCTAATGACTTCTCTATCATTTAAAATCAGTTCTGAATAACTTTTTAAAAATGTGAGAAAGCTAAACAAATGTGATTTTTTTGTTTTGAGAAAACAGAGCAACCTAAGTCTTAATGCTGTATTAACTAGTAGCCTTTTATTGCCTTGTAAGTGTACAGGGGTCTGTACTACAACTGTTCCCATTTTCATCAGACAAACTACAAAAATATGACCACTCTAGCCTTCAGGAAATTAAATTCAAATCCAAAGTTCATTCCCACTGACACTGCAAGAAGAGTCTGAATATAGCCTGAATAAAACTCAAGCTTTCAAAAAATCTGGATTTCAGCTCTTCACTTTTAACCACCTCCTGTTTTCTTTATACCTTTAGCAAAGCTGCAACAGCCTCCTGGTTAGCATTTCGAACGTCTTCTCCATTCACTGTTAGTATTTGATCTCCTTGCATCAATCTCCCATCTGTATCTGCTATTCCACCTTTGACGATGTCTGACACAAACACCCCTGCATCATTTCTGTAAAAATATATACATTCTGTATTACAATATTGTTTAAGAATTATTTTATTGGCTTGTAATTGGGAATGCATTGAACATCAGCTTGTTTTTTTTGGTTTAGTTCCTTTAGGAATGGCATAAAAATGAAATGTACTGCCAATAAAGCCCAAAGGATCTGAGTGGTGCTCACTGAAGACAAACAAGCATGCCTAAGAAGTTCCAGACATTGACTGTCCTTGTATATTCATACCTTTTCCCAACTATACTCAGCCCAAGGCCTTTGCCAGGCTTCTTTTGGAGCTCTATAATGAGTACATCATACATGTCTTCCTCCTTGTACTGCGCCTCATCTCTGTACACAGTCAGGCGAACTTTTTGGGGAGTCTGCCGGAGAACATTAATTGCTTCATCATGTGTCGCACTCCTGAGGTCAATTCCATTCACCTGAATGAAAGTATACATTGGTAAACTATGAAGACTGTCCAACAGACAAATAAAATATGTCTAGATAGCAAATGACAATAAACAGTGATAAAATCAACCACTTTACCTCTAATATCTGATCCCCAGCCCAGAGTCTCCCATCTTTTGAAGCTGCTCCTTCTTCATACACTTCATGGATAATGATTGCTCCCTGCAGATAAACAACAAAAATATGCTACATGCTGGAAGAAAATTCCCCGAATTATGAAGCAAGACCTATGGAAGATTTCTTCTAAAATTCAGTAGTGATGAACAGCCAGAAGAATGATAAAAAAATTACCAAAATATTTAAGAAGTTCACTTACTTCCAATCTCAAGCATATTTTTTCGTTTTTTTTTTTTTTAGAGGCTAGCTTTAGAATCTTTTTATAAATGCTACCAAAAGAAAGGAAGATAAAATCTCTTCTATCAGACATTTTAATTTCATTATTACTAATTCATGTGAATTACATATATTTTTCCAACCCACCAACAAAGTGTCTGCTCCTCCAACAATGCTTAGACCAAGACCAGTCCGTCCTTTGGAGATATCAATGGTTGTTTCACATCCAGGAATAATGGGACAAGTAGCTGGGTCAGAAGCTAGTGTGGCTGGAGTTGAAGATCTGCTCGTATCTAAAACAACAGTATAATCTAGTTACAGTAAGATCAGTAAGATGGCTTGGTATCAGAAAAGTGATTTTACCATATCATTTTGAGAGTTGACCAACAGCTCAACAGTAACAGCCCAACAGTCCATCTACTGATAACATCCTTATTTCAAAATCACCACATAATGCCATTGTCCCTTCTTCTCAAGCACTGCCCAGTGGTTTTAGTAGCAATTGTCCGATTTCTACACCATTATGTACATGGACCACAGCATTGACTTAACTGAGATACTGAGATGTACTGTATTTGTACTACTTCATTCTCACAGTTTGGATAGTTAAAGGAGATAATTCAATTTAAACTCCATCACAGACGGAGTGCATACTATCTACTACATACATGGATACAAAGCCCAATCCTTCCATAGGGGGCCAAGTCAAGGTCAATGTAAGTATTCTATCTCAGACTCAGATCTGTACCATGAGAAAGAATATGAAGCATGAGTCAACTACAGTGGTAGTCCAGCAGTCTTTGGTCAACTTATAACCCGAAATAGCAATTATCTGTGATATTAACTAAGTTCATCTCTACTATGACATATATGGATCTTTGCTTTAGTTTGGTTTTTTTTTTTGTTTTTTTTTGGTTTTTTTTTGGTCATTTCTGTATCTTTTAAAGTTAAAACAAGCAAACAACCTACATATGCTACAAGGATATACTGTGTAATAATTTAATTAAAGGGAAGGACCAGCAATCAGAGCATCTGGGATGTTAATATCATCTCTATTACTGAAGTCTCATGGGCTTTAAAAAGATATCAAAACCAGAGTTTTTCAGAAATTAAAATCAAGCATGTAAGTCCTTTTTTAGACATTTTAAAGGGTAACTGATTGAAAGAAGTACCACTGAAACTAAAAGAGAGTTTGATCATTCAAAAATAGGCATTTCAGTACACAAACATTTAGGTATTGTGTGAGCAAATAATTCAGTAGGAACAGTAAGCTTCAAAACAAGTAGGTCTGGCCTCTGAAGGGAAGTAGAAGAGCACTCAAGACTGTTTAAGGTTAAAGCTTCTACACAAGCTGTTCTGTTATGCAAGCTGTTTGTTGTATGGTAAGAAACTGTTACAGAAGCACAGAATGGTTGAGATTGGAAGGAACTTTGGGAGGTCATCTAGTCTAACACCCCTGTTCAGGAAGGAAAGCTACCCAGGACTGTGTTCAGGTGACTTCTGAAGATCTTCAAGGAGGGAGATTCCACAAACTCTTTAGGCAATCTGTACCAGTGCTCCCTCATCTGCAGGGAAAAGATAGACTTGGTAGAAGAAAACTGGGGAGTAAGTTATACAATCAGCTTGAGGATGAAGAGGAAAAACATCTTTCCAGAGATGTAATGTACATCCCTACAAACTGATGAAATCAAGTTTCAGTCACAATCCAAGGATGCTGGAGGGGGCACTGACAACATCTTCATCAATTCTTTGTCCATAGGATATGGTATGGAAGACTGGAGAAAGAGGGAATAGACTTGTACAGAGTGAAAGACTTCAGCTGTGTAGTGTTTCCTTATCAGTGATGTAACTTTGTATCAATATTACTGCTAATAACAAACAACAGAAATGACTCAGTAATACTTTCAGTGATGTACATATAAATTGACTTCAATAAGTTCATAATTTAATTAAACTTTTACTAGCTTCTTAGTGGTGTGTTGCTTAACCAATAAACATCATCAATCAGTGGCATCTTTAGTCAAGAGGGAGACATTCAAACTTGGCTAGTATTTAGCACTTGGAAAGCATCACTCATTCCTCTGTTCTAGGAAAGATTATCTGAATTTCTCTCTGAGTTAAAGGAAATTACTCCCACTGCATTCTAGAGAACCATGACCTGACCATCTGATGCACAGACTTTGAGACAAAAGAGGGAATCCCTCCATCAGTCCACTTTTACAAATAGGCAGATGGAAAGGCAAGAGGTAAGTCTTCACTGTGGAGTCTCACTGCTTTATTTAGATTGCTCTTTAACCTGGAAGTACTAGAAAGTAAAGCTCAGCCGACAGTCACATGCATACAAAAAAACCCCAAAACTTGTTTACTAACTAGGTCCTCATCTTTATCTCATAATTGTTGTGAAACAAGATACATAAGAACCTTACTTTTGACTGCTTCTGGTTCTGGTGAGTTGGAAGAACAAACAGCTGTTGGTGGCTGGATATTCCTTCTCTCTGCTGGTGCAGCACTGGAAAGGACTGGTGTTATGGTCCGGCTATCTGCCTCTGGTGAGTTGATTGTAAGCCTCACTGACTTTTTGGATGACTTCAGGAGATTGATAAACTGAATGATATAAAGAAAAATGGTGGAGAATTTAGCTAGACTTCTCATTGTAAAAGAAAAATACGGCAAATGAACTGTTCTCCAAACTGAAGCCACTATTCTACAGGTTTGTTGTCAGTTAACAAGCACAAACATTGATGGTTGAGGGCCTGACCTGGATGATGTTATTCAATTACCTTTTATAGAACTCTGACAAAATATATGACATGGTAACATGGTTACCTATGAACAGTTTCTTTGGACAAGGTACTACGTTTATAGCAATTAGTAGAAAGATCAGAAAACTAGTGTTGTCTCCTAATGCTTGTGCGGAACTCAATTATAATATCACAAAAATCTGAAGTTTTCTATCAAAGTACAGTAGTGCCATACAAGTTCCTTAATCAGAAGGTAGAAGGAAAAATTGAAAATATTATCTGAACTACAGGAGGAAAAGGATAATACTGAGATGTAACACAGAATGGGATCAAACTCATGCTCCAGTTTCACGATATGATGAAAAAACTTCAAAGTTTGCTACTGTCTCACAGGCATCAAATCGTTCCAAGCATTTCAATATAATTATAATTATTTTTTTTTGTTTTAGAAATGAAACCTTACTCAGTCTGTTCCTCCTTTTTTTCAAGCCTTTTCCACTTCCCAGCAAACAATTTCAGTACTGTTTAGATATTTACTGCTTGAGACACAGCAGTGCTCTCAGAGAATAAGATGGATACTCTGCTAATTGCTTTTTAACAAATGGAAAGTGATCTTGCACCAAAAGAATCACTTTTATGGATAACAAAGCAGATACTAGAAAAATGCCCTCCTTAATTCACTACAAAACCTAAACTGAGTTTGGTGAGGTGGAAGTTGGTAAAATCTATCTGTCAACTATAAATTCGATATTTAGGAATGGAAATAGCTTTTGCCAGAGGGCTGGAATATCAGGCTTGAGACTAGATGTTTGTTACAGACACTCCCTATGTATAAGCTCAGTTCATGACCTGATTTAGCACTGATGCAACTCACTTGTTTGAAATACAGACATACCAATTTCATTGTTTCTAACACTTTTAAAGTGGAGTAGTTATGAAGAGACAAGATTCAGTTACAGTTCAACCTCATATCCCAGCACTAAGTGCTACTTACTTATTACATGCGAAACAGGGAAAAAAAAATCACATCCGTTGTAAAGAGAAAGACTATTTATTTATGTAGGCTTTAGCTTACTCTGCAGTAATTTCTTTATCCAGACAAAACTTGTCTATCTTTGGTTCTTCAGCTAACTTTGAAAATGTAGTTAGAGTCACCAAAACCTCACAAGTTTGTTTGAGACATCATCTCCTAAACTTAGTGGTGTGATTTCTACAATATTCCAGACAATTCAGAAGCACCTTTTCTACTGGATAGCCCACAACAATTTCATCATCTACTGCCAGGATCTGACTCCCAATTTTGATTCTTCCATCCTGGAAATAAAATAGAAAAAGAAATATAAACTCTGGGTGCTAGTGAAAGTATATATATATTTTTTTTTCATATGGATTTAAAACATTTTCACACCCTTGCTGCTGAACCATGATCTGTTAAGCTCTTAATAACTATTCCATTGACTGTGTCTTCTTCACTAATGGCAATTCCCAAACCTCCTTCATCCTGGGATAAACAGAAATACACAAATGGTTAGGTACTGCATTTATCAAAATGTTACAATACATTCACAAAAGACTAGTGAAGATTGAAGAAATAACAGAAGTTTGGGTCTTCCCAGTGCACCAGTGTTTTACTTTAAACTAAACTATTACTGAAATAGCAGATCTATTAATCGTATATTGCTTACCAAAATAAATCTGAAGCAATTCTAAATTAAAATCCCTTTCTTCTGAAACTCTGAAGATCAGCTATGATTCAGTTTTTGAATTCATAAATAGGAAGAACAATTACAGAATCATAAAACGCTCAGGACTGGAATGGATCTCTTGAGGCTCCTGTCCAACCTTTTGCTTAAGTATGGCTAACTAGAGCAGACTGCCCAGAAACATGTCCGGGCAGCTTTCAGAGATACTCCAGAAAAGAGACTCCAATACCACTCTGAAAAACCTAACATGTTCCAGTGCTCCTTCACCTGCACAGTGCAAAAATGCTTCCTGATGTTAAAACTGAACGCCTGGGTTCCTGTTTGTGCCCACTGTGTCTTGTCCTGGGACTGGGAACCACTGAAAGGGCCTAACTTCTTTCACTCTCCCTGCGGGTTTTTATACAAATTGTTAGGTTCCCTCCTGGACTCATTTCAGATGAGCAGTGTCAGCTCTCTGAGCCTCTCCTCAGAGGAGAAGTGATCCATTTCCTTGATCATTTTGGTGGTCCTCTGTTGGATTCTGCATATCCATGTTTTTGTCATATCAAAGGATCGAAAGCTTGACACATCACTCCATGAGCAGCCTGACCAAAACCAGCTAAAGGGAAGGATAATCTCTCTTGATCTACTTTGCCTAACACAGACTGGAATACAGTTTATAGCAGCAACAAAAAACATGTGGAAACTACTGACTGAAGCAAACAAAACTTAAATTCACATAGAAAAAAACACAAGAATGGAAAATACAGAGGCAGGAAAAATGCATGCTCTTCCTTTGAAATTAGTAAATGTGTCAGAGTGAAATTCCCCCAGTGTTTTTAGAAAGAAGTAAATAATCTGGATACCTTAATCTGTAAGATACTGTCCTGGTTAACAAAGAAAAGCTAGTTACCTTCCATGGAGATAACCTTACCAACACTCTACCCCTATGTCCACTAAATGTAGCTGTCTTCTCCATGTTAATAAGCAATAGTTTTTCAACCTTCACCTGGCAGTTTCACAAATAGAAAACTCTTTCGTTCAGCTGCACAGTTTCAGCAAATATATATTTCTGAGGGGTGGAAATTTGGTGCTCATAATCTGCTGCTGATTAATTTACTTGGACCAACTCAGGCAATGATTTAACTGATAAAGCATCATAAAACCTCTCTGTGTTCAACCAAATCAGCTAGTTACTGAAAATTTTAAAATTAGATCAAGAGATGACTTTTTCCAGGCACAGAGAGCATTTGGCAAATATACATGATGTTAAAAACTTCCTCAGGTTTTTATGGAAGGTATAACATCAGGAAAGTTTTTGGTTCGCTCAACAGAAAGGAAGAATAAAAGGACTCTAGAAATCTCCAGTCTGACTTCCAGTAAGTAAGGGACAATGTTTGTTTGCTTTGAGGGATTCCACTATAAAAAAGCAAGCTGATGAATACAAACATGGCTGGTATCAATTTAATTCTCAGCACATACCTTAGGAAGTTCCACATACTGAATATTTTTAAATGAACTGAAGTCAGTAGAAATACCAGAGTCTGAAGTAGTGTCAATCTAATAATGAAAACACAATTGTGAGCAGCTACTTTCATCATTAACATTTTCAACAAAAAGTGGATCTGATTATTTTATGGATCCATTTAAACTTCTATAACACTCTTCACAGGAATACTAGATTTACTTCTTAGTTCAGAACATAAAGTAAAACAGATCTAGGTACAGTAAATGTAGCACTGGTAAGAAATCTATTTTTCCACTGTATTTCTTCACTTAGTGCAATATCTGCTGAGTACACAGGGTACCCATCTACCCAGAACAATGTCAGAATCTCAGTCAAATGAGAAAAAAACAAAATTTACTTAACCTCTTGAATTTGAAGTTTCTCTGAAGCACAAGGTAAAGCCTCTACTGACTTTGCAGGGCAAACAGCCATCTGATTTACTGCATCTTCATTTCTACAAGAGATTCAGTTATAAAATATAGTAAAATAATACCATATTAATTAGAGCACATTTAACTCTAGCTCTTTCTTCTGCATTATTTTTGGTGTTATCAATGCACATATCAAAACAGAAATACAACATATATTTAACAATTCCTACAAACCAGGCTCAAAAGCACACTGGTCTCCCCAGAATTAAAAATAAAACAAAAGTACTATTGGTGCAAGAACCTGAGTATATTAAAATACATTTTTTTTTAAATAAGAACTTACCTGATAAAGATTATTTTTACTTTAGATGGAGCACATTTGATTATGGATGAAGCATTCTGGTGAGTCCTTCCAAAGAGTATTTGCCCATTTATCTACATAGAAGAAAGCAGTAATTATTTTTCAAATAAAAAATCTAAAATACCACACCACTGGCTAAAGCAGCAATTGTGTTACAGAGTATATTGTGTCCTGCTCTCACTTCCCTTTTTCAGTAAAAAATTCCTTGCAATTTAATTTCAACTAAGTTCAGTTTAATCAGCATTGGTGAGGCTGCACCTACAATACTGTGTTCAGTTTTGGGCCCTTCACTGCAAGAAAGACACTGAGTGTGTCTAGAGTCCTGGAGTGTGTCTAGAGAAGGGCAATGAAGCTGGGGAGGGGTTTGGAGCACAGGCCTTATGAGGAGCTGTGAGGGAGCTGGGATTGTTCAGTCTGGAGAAGAGGAGGCTCAGGGGAGACCACACCTCTCTCTACAGCCACCTGAAGGGAGGTTGTAGTGAGCTGGGGGTCAGCCTCTTCTCTTGTGTAACTAATGATAGGACTAGAGGGAATGGCCTCAAGTTGCACTGGATGAGATTCAGGCTGGATCTTAGGAAATACTGCTTTTCTGAAAGAAAAGTCAGGCACTGGAATGGGTTGCCCAGGGAGGTGGTGGAGTCACTGACCCTGGAGGTGTTCAAGGAACATTTAGGACATGGTTTAGTGAGAACTATTGATGACGGGAGGATGGTTGGACTGGGTGATCCTGTGGGTTTTTCCAACCTTGGAGATTCTATGACTCTATGATTCTAATTTCTAACACTTTCTAAAGTCTAACATTGTCACAATGCTAAAAACATCATTCTCTGTGTTGTCTTAACACGTTATCTATTTTCGCTTTGTGACTGATGGAGCAATAATGTGAGGCCATGAGAAATACTAATCAAAGCAAATAAATACATAAACCCAGCAACAAGATTACTACTATTTATTGGATCTCAGCTCTGAGCAATGTACCTTCTACAAAGGAATTTGAATGTTGGTGCATTTATAATCTATAAACATTTGACCTCATAATTACCATTGTCATTTGGCAGAGAAGACTCACTGAAAGCTCATGAAGTCCTTGAGATTCATGAGATTTAAGTTTGAACTTGCAGAATAAGGCCATTATTTGCTAATGTTTTATTAATTATGTTGGTCCCTGACTTCATAGGAGAGCTGACTCAGACAGACGTATTTCAACGTGTTTAGAGGATACTATGCATTTGCAATACTAAGGTTTTAAAACTTTAAAAACTTTAACGGATTCAAGAGAACCATCTAGCACACAACACTGGACTTATTGCAAATGACAAGCATGAGACTAGATCCACACTATCACAAATCCTCTGCATTCTCTCCCAGTCCTCCCCTGCCAGCCTATAAGCCTTCAGTGTCATCCTCACGCTTGGTGCTGGGAAGTAATGGTGATTCCTCACTGTACTGTTAGACACTGCAACATAACAGTTTTGACATTACAAAAAAATGGTTCTGTGAGGGTAATGTTAACTATTGCTACTAACCTGAGGAAAGCCACAGCAGAAAATACATCCACAAGAAAAATCAGTTGAATTGCAGTAATATAACACATTCATAAACATACTGAGAATGTTAGCTGCACATTAAACAATTTGTTCTCTTCAAAAAGCCACTAGAATTCAGCTCAATATGGGAAGAGAGTCCAGGATACAAATAAATTGGTTTCTGTTACCCCTTGTTACCCCTGTTACCCCTTGATTTCTGTTTTATATATAATATAAGCTTTCTGGTATTCTCACACTTCTAGTAGACAGGGAAATAATTAGAAACTCTGCAGCACTTCACAGATGGATGGATTAAGGGACTTTTGTTTTCTACAATTCAAAATCTATGACACAGAAATTGTTGTGTTCTCTATTCCAAGGTCCACTAAAGAACGCCAGCAAGGATCTAATATTTAGCGCATTTTAAGTCAATATGTTTTAGTTTCTATAAAAATTGCAAGAACTCACCTCTAGTAACTCATCTGCAATCTGTAGCCTGCCGTCTTTGCCAGCTGCACCATTTGGATCAATTCCCACTATAAAGACACTCATCCTGGATCGGTCTTTGTTACCAGCAAGACTAAGTCCCAGACCAGTCCTTCCTTTTTCTAGCTCAATCATGTGTAGTTCCCCTGGTAGACTTCCATAGCGCTGTGTAATCTTTTCTAAATGTAAAGGTATGGGAAACAGAGGTTAGATTTGTATTACAGGTCCGCAGACTAATTGGAGAGTTAAGATTATTGTCCAATGGACAGTATCTGACAGTAGAATGTAACTTGGGTGAGAAAGTCACAACTGTAGTCCATATTTTCATTTCAGCTAAGACTTTGGTGATCTCTAGTTCCTTATTTTCTTTCTAACTTGAGAAAACATTAAAACTTAAAAAAAAAAAAAAAAAGACTAAACATATAAAAACAATAATCTTTACTCCAATAACACTTTCAGATAACAGGAATCATAATATTACATATCACAGCCATCAGTTACCTACTGTAACCTATCAGTAACTGAAATTCTGGAAGTAGTCCTGAGTACGAAATGGTGAGTCTGGACCATGGAGAAACACAGAGATTGATATGTAATTTAGAAGAACAAATCATTTTTGTGTTTCACTATGTGCCTCTGACAACCACAAATGAAAGCTGACAGCAACAATTAAGAATCAAAAAAACTCATGAGAATGAAGTAGTTCAAACTGGATACTTCATATTTTCTCTTATAATACCACTTCAGCAATAAATATTTGAAAAATTATCATGAAAGATAAGCTTACTCCAGCTGTAACCGAACTCATCCTCCTTCTCTATGTCCTCTGCAACTTGGCTGGACGATGACTGTGCAACATCACAGCTCATTCCTGAACACGCGGAAGGAGGAGGCAGAGGCAAGTTACAAGATGAAGTCTTTTCTGGCTCTGAATCGGACTGAAAGAAAGCCTGTGGAGAATAAGAAAAATGTGATGGCTAAGCAAATGCAGACTTATGTGTACAGCAAGACAGCATACAAAAACATCAAAAAGGCAATGACTATGGCTTTGAAGTTTAAATACCAAGCAGCTGGAACTCTAAATGTGTAATACAGCACAGAAAAGCTGCAAGAGATCAAAGACAGAAACAAACACTAGGCAAGGTAAGAGATAACTTCACTCCAAAATGAATTCAGAAGCAAACAGAACAGACAGCTAAAGCCCAATTCAGTAAAGTTTTATGTGCCACTTTATAGGTAAGAAAAAAGTACCCTGTGCAGCCTGACCTTGAATGTCTCCAGAGATGAGGCCATCTCTGAGGAATCTGTTTCAGTGCATCTTACTGTAAAAAACTCATTCCTTATATCCAATCTAAATCTTTCACCTTTTAGTGGGAAACCGTTTGAGCATTCTCTTTTCCAGGCTGAACAGCCCCAGCCAGCTCTTTCAGCCTATCCTCAATAGGGGAGGTGAAGTCATATAGTTATTCTGAAGTTATCCATGCCCATCAGCTGTTGGTAAGTATATTTTCAAGAAAGTGTTCTATTCTTGTAATTTCAGTTTTCACTATCCTCCATTACGAAGCTTGAAAATAACATCACAGATAATGTCTGCAGAAGCCAGAAGCACAGAAATGCTTTATCAGAACTCAAAGGGCACAGAATAACAACATAAACCTTGGACAACTTTAATCCACTTTCAACTTAAGGTATTGAAAAGACTGGAAAGCTAACAACTTTGTGACACTGAGATTTAAGAAGGATTTAAGAATGTTAAAAAGGCACCCAAGCCAACAGATAAATTACATAAAAAAATGCCATGCCTGTGCTTGAAATCCAAGGCAATCTAAGGCAATGCATTACAGAAATATTTACAATTTTTGCAAATTATACTCTAAAACATAAGCCTCAATTGATGCAGCAAAATTACAAAAAGAAATTTTTATCCATCAGAATCAAAGAATGGTGAAAATGCCAGTCATTAACAGCAAAAGTGTTTTTTTCTAACAAAAAGTTCATGTATCCAACATAGAAAAAGTTGGTGACAGACTTCTACCTCAGCAGGAGTGAAAAGCAGAGATGAAAAAGAGAGGAGTTCCAGATGCACTGTGAATTTTTCTTTGTGAAGAAATGAAGGAAAAGGCTAAGAAGGATGTTACTATGCAATTCAGACACAGGGGACCACCTTCCGCCTTCTAACCTCAGCCTGTTACACATGTGTCTCTAGCAACTGGATCTGGCCCCTCAGCACACATAAGACTTTTGCTCTCTGAATCAGGCCATAGACACAAAAAAAAAACTAAAATGCTTTAACTCATGAAATACTTGTTATGTGCCATAGCACAGTATTTCATATTACATTATTCAAAATGCAAAGCATCATATAGTACATGAACCCATTTGGTTATTAGGGTCTGATAACAGACCCTAATTAGGGACTGATCACAGCCAAGGAAATATTAAAAATGGCAGTTGGAGCAGTATCATTTTCAACGTAGGAGGCAGAGGTGGAGGCATAAGCAGGATTCTGGAAGGTATCACAGGCCATGTACAAATGCACAGCACACACATACAGTACAGTATCACCTGCTCACTAGAAACAAGACAAACCTTGAATGGTGTGGGAGCAAAAGGGTTAGTTGGGGAACAACGGAAGGTAACCCTAATTGGATTCGATACCTCCTATAGCAACAGAAAACAGCAATCCGTATGTTACAGTACCTTTGGCAACATGTAGTGTTACTAACGAACAACTCAATTTCATTTTACTAACTGCAGCAAATGTATTAAGTCAATGAAACAAATTATTGAAGGAGTTATTAAGGGCTTTGCTTTTTGTGAGCTTTCTTACTGAACACGAACCTGTAAGCAGCTGATAGAGATGACACAAGAGCATTCTTATCTCAGTGCATAAACTACAAAAACAGTTTTTTCTCTAAAAACATACACTTTTTTTCAGAAATGTTTTTGAAAATACAGAAAACACAAGCCATCATTTATTATTCCATTTCCTTTCCTCATACCTGGAACAAATAGAGATTTCAAAAATGTACATGCAATTATATACCACATATCATAGAAATTCATTTTACATTTGAGAGAGTCAACAGACTGCAACGTGGAAAAATAGATAGTGTCACTCCCAGTCACTTACTGTTTTAAATCAGAAATGCATGCACAAATGAATTAAACCTTTATTTATTACTGTGTTAGGTTAATTCTGTCTCCAACATGAATAACATGCTGTAAGCACTAATCTGAAAAAAAAATCCAACTTTTTTCAGATTTTCAAAGATGTAGGTATCTTGTCCATGGTACACCAAAAGAATTTTCAACAAGAAAAGTGAAAGTATTTTCAGCACCATTAAACAAAGCAGCCAATATTTCTTGGGCTTTCATCAGGGGAAAAGAAAGAGACAGCAAAGATGCCATAGCAAAAGTACATAGCAGCAAAACACTATACACTGATGACAGATTTTCACTCTGGTAGAGATTTTAACAAACACTGCAGGAACTGATTTTCTAATTGAGAACTTGTTCCTTTGATAGCTTTGATTAATTCAAATTTGGTAGTTACAGTTAATGGACCTGTCTTTTCTTATCCAAAAACTTTTCTCCACTTGTATATACATGCGTGTATGTGTCTGTGCCATTTTAATTCACTACACAGAATTTCCATCTTCATCAGCACAATATTTTATATAAATACAGTACAGAAAAATTTAAATTCAGAGACATACTAATGGCAAAAAAAGCACACGTATCATGTTTGGTGAGTCAAAAGCAGATAGTTAATCATCATCCAACCTTGTTAGCGATGAACTGAGAAGAATCAGCAAATGGGTTAGTGCTGCTGAAGATAGTTGGCCTACAGAAAAGATAGTTCTGCGGGAAAGGCAGGGAAGAGTTCTAAAAGAAAAACATAACAGAAACTGAAGAAAAACATTTTTAAGTGAACCCTTTGTGACTCATTAAACAAAATTTATTTATTTTGCAGCTTGTGCTAACCAAGCAAAATCTTATTAATATACTTCTGTATGGACACATAAAGATAGATAAACTGCATTTACTCTGTATTTTCAATTTGTATGCTCAAATTATCAGCTATGTTTAGCAGAGATTAGAGGAAAATATTGATCCTCCAGTGTGTCCTAGCCCACAAAATTCATGAAGTGTAGTGTTCAGTAGCATAAACAACATAGCATTTACTTGCTGTGGTATTTGTACAATTTTGCCCGAGTATCTCAGTATATGGGATACACTTCAACCTCAGTTATTTAATCATAAAATTGTGGACTCCTGGATGAGAATAAATGCAATTCATAGTAATAACACAGTACAAATCTAGGACTAGTTTTATTTTGCAAACCACGCAAGTTCTCACTATTTGATTTATGTACCAAGGTAATGTATTCACGGTGCCCTTTGCAAAATATAAAGCTTAGTAACATTAGACATCTCTGACTTTACACCTCACTTTGCATCTGTGCAGATGAATGTGTGATTTACTGATTTGTATTGTAACAAGCTGGTCTTCTTGTTAAACAATATAAGGTAAGGTAACTACTTGTTATTATTTAACAAATTAAATCATTTCATTTCATAAAATCAAAGGATATAATTTCAACAATTATACTCCCTATGCAGTTCTAGTACTGTACTTCAAGATCAGAAAGAGAAAACAGTCAAATATGTACTTAAAAATAATTTCTATAATAGGTGCATCCATCTGCTCGTGGTCTAAATATTTGGTTGCTATAAGCTTCATGGTACTGAAAAAAAGAAACATACTAAAGAAAATGTGAAAGGCTTGCAGCAACAACTAACAGATTAACATCATGGTAGTTTAATCCAGATATACGTTGCAGTTACAAAATTTTCTTAAGGTACATAGTTCCGTTCATCATTTCTAAAAATATTCTTCTAAGCATTTATCCTCAAATATTACTTTGCAAAGCAAAATGTAATGCAATTTGATAAGACATCACGTCTTGGTTCTACAGTGTCTTCAGCACAGAGAAGGTACAGATCTGTATGAACAAGCTCCCTTCATTGGCAAGCCACTCACAGTAAAAAAGCAGTTGCCCTACAGTAAATGATTTTCTGTTTACACAAGTAATTTGCAAATTCACACTTGATGACATCTTTTGTAAAGAGAAGTTTGGGAAGAATAATTTATCAATGCAATGGTTCTATTATACTTTCAACGTTACATCAGCCACTGCAAAGAATTATCTACTGTATCTTGATTAACTTTACGCAGCTAAAATAAGTATCATGAAAAGTTTGTTTACAAACACCAGTCTTAGTAAAAGAGAAAACAGATTAGCCATGGTAATTCAAAATTATGCCTTTTATATCTTTTTCATGATGACAAAGCTCCTAAAATACAACTGCTAGATCTAACTCTAATCTATGCAACTGTGTATTAATTGTATTGACTGCTCACAAGGATAAAATTTGGAGCATTTGAGTTTGTCTACACACTTATATTTTAAACAATGCGCATGAAGCATGTCTTCTTCCACAGTCTACAGCAAGTAAAACATACACTAAAATAAATTTTATTTTTCCTTTTCCGTTTTTTTTTTTTTTTTTTTTTTTCAAAATGAAACAAAAAATAACAGGATAAGTGATTTGATTTTTTTTTTTTTTTTAAATTTGTGTTCTGTTTATTAATATACCCAGGATGCTGAGGTATCAGACATGCATACTGTAAAGCATAATGCTATAACGTAACAGAATGGCTGGGATCATAATCAAGGTGACAGATTAACTCTTACTAAGAAGTACACACTGCAGGATAAATATGAAACTGATTTCACAGATAACTGCTTGCAAGTGAAATTACTGAATTAGCTTCTCACAATCCACTTGCATTATTTGAGATACTCTAGAGTATGCTTCAGACCTCTTTAACTTCTACAGTAGCCTAAATGAAATAAGAAAAAACAAAAAGGGACAAATATGACTCACTACCACCATCGCTTGAAAATGACTGCCTTACAGCACTATATTAAATATAGCTGCTGTGTGCAGGCAGTTAACTGTCTGGGTAACTATGCATGAATGAAGGCTGGAAATTTCCTTTAAGATCTTATTATGAAATACAGATGCACATTTTAGTGATGAAGACAATAAATATAATGCCTTTAACAAAAGATCACAACGCAAAGCCTGTGTACAGCAAAGAGCATTTGCAATGTTTCTGCTCACAGAGAAACAAAGGTGTGTTAATAAACATTCAAGAAACAACCAACAAACAAAGAAAAAAATAAACAATTGCAATAAAAAACAGAGCATTTTCTAAACATGAAAAGTGGCATAGCTACTTATTTCTAAACATAAAGTAATGGCATAGCTCCCAGCCCAAACAATGGCCTAAACATTCAGTGGTGGCCATTTTGTTCACATCACAGCAAATGCAAAAGCCTTACTTTAATATCTTGAGTATCAACAGCCAACATTCAACAGATCTTTTTCATGCAACTTTACCTTAGATGACTGACGATAAAATGGGTTAGTAGTTTTCTGCTCACAGAGAGCAGAAGCTGATGGAAGGCTATAAAGAGACTCTGGCTGGGGAACAAGAGTTATGAGACAACTAGTAAATAAACATGCAACTTACACAGACTCTCTACAAAGAGGAATTTTAGTTTCTAGTGATGAAATGAACTATATTAAAGTTTATTAGCTTTTGTCTGCAATGTCCATGCAGCTTAGTGACAGAAACCTTCCGTGTACTTCTATGTCCTTTTATTAATGTCCAATGAATATTTTAACAGATGTTGTATTTCTGCATGCGCTCCTCTGACATGCTGTCAATCTCTAAGAGTTGATTTTAGTTAAGACTCCTACTCTGCCCCCCAACAAATTATCATTCTTGAGGCTTTTCAAAATAGTTTGAGGACGGCGTGCTGGAGGGTAATTCCAAATCCAAATCGATTTCATTCTAAATGGAAATAATATTTAAATCAAATCTCAGTTCCTGAAATAGCTAAGATGGAACTTTCAGGATTAAATATCCCACTCCCAAACACCACCACCTTGAACATTCAATTCATCTATTACTACATATCATATCTCTTTCCATATTATTTATGCTTACCCTTGGTCTGCTTATAATGCTCTGTACCATAAAGACCACAGGATTGCCTGCCTTCCGTATGGCTTCAACAGCTTGTTCGTGGCTGGCATCTCTGAGGTCAATTCCATCCACCTGTAATTGGAAGGCCTCATCTTAATATTACAAGAAGCTACAAGAATCATGAATCAGCTCTGGGTTCTGATCAGAGAACTTCCAAGTAAAACTTAAGCCCAAATCTCTGTTATTAATGGAAAGGTTTTCTAATGACTTCACCTCATGTCTCTTACACATAGGCTTGAGGTTTCCAAGAGCAGTGAAATGACATCAAATATATGTTTTCCATGGTTTAAAAAAAAAAGGGAGGAGAGGGGAAGGATTTCAGCAATTGTGGTTCAGGCTTGTTATGCTTTCCCACAGGCAATGTAATAAAAGTATTATGAACAGAGTGGCAGTACTTGTTAAATACAACTTCCAGTAAGTTCTATCTGATAACAACCTATTTTCCCAGTATCTAATAAGATTTACAAACTGAAACGTTTAAGCACTGGAAAATTTCATTATGGGGTATTACATCAGTATAGTGTATTTTTTTTTCTTTCTTTTCAGCCTTTTTTTTTTTTTTTTTTTTTTTTAATGACCATTAACACCACCACTAATGTAAAGATGTGTTCAGCTGTAAGACATTTCCTTAGAAGGTAGAGCTGAAGAGCCATTTCTCTTCTAAAAGAAAGCACGAACTAAGGAAAAATGTTTGGTTGCTCCTTCCTTTTCTTGCTTTCAGATATAATGTATAACAGTTTGTCTTGCCATCCAGCTAAGAATATGTTATGGTGAAGTTAGCATCAGTAAAGCATTCTCACAATGACCACAGTAAGAGCTAGAAGCTAATATAGATAGGTTGTTTGTTAGTGGCAATTCTTGCACAAAAGATGTTACATAATGAGAATTACCCCTGCCTCTTTAACTAACACCTTCTTAATATCATAGAGAAATTAGAGAAAATATTTAAACCTATGAACAACTAGCAGCATCACTACAGATCTGCAACTTTCCATGTCTGAAATAGTACATGCACTGGTAGAAAGAAAAGTCTAAAAATGCCTCAACTCAAAAAAATGAAACCATCCATTCATAAACAGTTGCATGAATACATTACAAACTAATTTTGCTCATCCACATCAAATTCTATAAGCACCGTTCTCAGAGACAATTACTACATTCATGAAACCCCAGAGATTCAGTTACAATGAATAATGATTAATTTTGTGGACATCAAGTAAAATACGACTTCCTAACTTGTTTTATACTAAAAAAAAATTTTCCATTTTGTTGTATGTTACTGTATTATTTCAATGCTTTTTGTTCGGATTTAGTAGCAGCCACATATCACTAGTTTTAATATGAGTGGGTAAGAAATGCAGTTCAGTCCAGGTGAAATGTTAATGTCTCTATCGCCCTTGTTCTTTATGATAGACGGTCAGCTAACATCCATCATGGTGAAAAGGAGTGTAGCTCCCAAAGGAATGACACTGGATACATGTAAATGTCTAACTTATAACCATCACAGGAAAGACTCTTTACAAAATTATTGAGCAAGAATGCAGAAATCATTGTATAAGCAGGGATTACGTAAGCAGGAGAAGATGAATCTAGATGAACTCTTCTCTGCAACACTGCATAAACACAATACTCTCAACTTCCCTGCAAACCTCTATATGAAATTCATTTTTCTGCATGTCATCAGGAAGAAAACAGTGTCTTCTTTAACTCCTGAAAAGCACAAGGATGAGGCCTGTGTAAGACTTTAGAGGGAGATAAATTGTAGCATTTATTTTAATGATATTTTGTTCTTTGGCAATCTACTGCTATCCAGTATGCAAACGTAAAACTTTCTAGCTTACTAAACCTTTTCCTACACGTTCTATGAAATGTAGGTGCAACTACCAGCTTTCTAGGCCCCTACTCACACAGCCAGCCATTTAAGCTTCAGGTTGTAAATACAACTTCAAACTGTCGGCACATAAATATCAGTAGATGGCGCTGCTGTGTTTGTAACACAGCAGTGCACCTTACGGCTCAAGCCAAAGCCAGCTGGATCAACTGCAGTGTTGAGACCAGGAGCAAATACCCATTTCAGCGACTCTTGAGATGCTGGAGGTACTACAACTGAAAGACACATGGTTGGTACCTCGACAATCCGATCTCCAGTTTTCAGTGTTCCATTTTTGCCAGCTGGGCTGTCTTCCAGGATGTGTTTGATAAAGATTCCTCTCATCACTTCCCCACTACTCAGGCGGCTGCCCATCCCTCGTCCTCCAACAATGCTGATCCCCAATGACTTGCCAGGCTCTCTCCAAAGTTCAACCCTATTGTGATAAAAAACGGAGCAAAATAAATGAAGCCTAAAATATGACAGTGCCAACCACTGAAGATCCCTAGATTGTCATGATCATTTAAAAACATTCAGGAATAACTTTGACAATTTTTTTTTTTTTTTTTCTTTCAGTGAGAGTTATCTATTCGGTTGCTCAGAAAGTTGTAACTGCTATTGCTTCTATTTACTTTGGCTTCTAATTAAAACTTCTCTTCAACTCGTCTTACTGGCTTGCAAACAGTAAGCCTATAAAGATAAATTTAACAAAGCAATTAAATAACTATTAAATTGCAGAGATTTAGCTCAGTGGCAGTATAAAAATCAGTGAAATACATCTGTAATGCACAATACACATTAGCTGCAGTACTTCTATTTTCTTATTCTCTTAAACTGTATCAGAGGTTTCAAAATTTTTGGATTTCAGATTAGATTATCTATTGTGCAAGATCTATACTTACTTTCTGGGCTGGTTCCAGTTACTGAAAGCTGCACTTTGAAGTTCACTTTCTTCTCCTTCCCCCTCTTCACGTTCTGGAAGCTCTGGGATTTCCCTGATGCTAAACAGGAACATGAAATTAATTTCGAAAAATTACATAAAATCACTGTATTTCTATGCAAAAATTCAGGTACTGGATACTTGCAGCACACTGTATTTCTACTAGAAATACAATTTTATCAGAACTTCAATCAGTACCTAGAATTTCCTTAACAGAAACCTGTTAGAACACATATCTTACACAGGGATTCCCAAAGCATTTATCTCTATTATTAAGTTCTACCAACCAACCAACAACTGCAGAACCTGTATGTTGAAACTAGAACTAAATCAAAGCTGAAGATAATTACGTACTCTTAATAGTCAACACTTAATCATTAACTATTAATTACTTATTACAAAATAATAAGACCAGAATTCAAAAGCTGTTATTGCTTTTGGATATTAATAAAAAAATAACTAGACACTGAATATTTTTGCTTGTAACAAATTAATTTTTAAAAGCAACAAAAAGAACAGCAAAACTAATTGGATAGAATATCAGTGTCAAAATCTCAGGTCAGAAGTACTAAGTACTTGTGGCAATACATAAATCAAATTGCATTGTATTTAAAAGAAATTTAGGACTGGACAGCAAGGTCTCTTTACTGGAGGGAACATAAAATCATCTTATAGAAATGTCAGAAACATTTGCTAGCCTAAGCCAAAACTAAGTTTTGAGCAACTTTTTATTTAAATGATTGCTAGTCTGAAAGAAAATCACTGTTTTTCAGCTCTAAATGTAAAATAAAATATAAATTATGAAATAAAACTTAGCATCTGGAATTATGCAAAGTGTATACAAAGAGTTAGATCTGAGATTTCTACTGGAGAAAACAAAAGGTCTTTTGACTCACAAGACGGATGATGAGGAAGAAAATACTGTCATAGTTTCCTCTGACTGTTGCTCCAAACTGGCTCTGTACTCTGGTAAATTTTCTGCTACCACATATGTAATACTGCAATAAAATGGACATGATTAAAGTAGTATCAGGACTTATAGTTAAATCTTTGGTGGGTGTGAGGAATGGATATGAGAAAATTACTAAAGATTACTTAATGTATGCACTGATTTCAAAACCACCAAAACTGCCATGCTGAAAATAAAGAACGACTAGTTTTTGTGGCTTGTGAAAAATAAGCATCTGCAATCAAATCAGACAGCTGAACTGCTCTTGATTCTATTGAGACTTACTACATTTAAGTAAATGGTGTTTTAAGAGCAGTAAGTATGTAACAGAGATAATTATGTTTCAGTCAAAACAGATTCCTTGTGCAAAGATAAATAATAAAAGATTTGTGAAGTATGAAGTACCATTACCATCATAAACACTGGCTGAGTACACTTCTGGAAGCTAGTTTGCAGAAGGTTTTTTGCTTTCAAAAGAGGTTCTCTAGGTGTTTTAAGTTTCCATACTTTTAGTTAAAAATACTGCATGGTTTTGGACATATAAATATGTTATAGTACATCAGGTAACCTGCAGGGAGTAATCCTCTGCCTAACTCCTTCCTCCACACCACCATGCACATCCAGTCAGCTCGATAGTCTGCCATGTTCTATCAGTCAAATGACATGCAGACTTCTGAAGCCCTGCTATGACTCAGCCAGGTTTGAATGCCAGAAAGAGGAATGGCACGGGAGACTGTTGAGGCAGGAACAAAGAAGAAGATTAAGGCATGAAAAATCTTTCTGAAAAAATTTCCTCTGCGGGTAAAGGGACATTATGATCTAAAACTAGGCTTTGTCATATCCCACTAAGCTGCTGTCCCATAAGCAGCTTAGCTATCAGATCAAAGTCTGTCAAGAACTAAATCTGATGGAAAAAGAATACATTCACAAAAGGATGTCCTACCATCTACCATATGGATGCTGAAAAGGAAGAACTCCCTAGTACTTCTGAATGAAATTTCTAAATTATCTGTGCTATCACTTGTTCCTTTTCTCCTTCTAGTAATCAATTAATTTATCTGCTCTGCCTTGGTATTTTTTTTTTTTCAAGTAATATGCACTTGACAGAAAGTGTATTTTCATTCTGAAATGCTGAGAAGCGTACATTCAGTGGGGAACAAGCACTCAGTGGAAGATCAGTGATTATCTGTGTTCCCTGAGCAGAAAGAAAGAAGCAAGACATAGAACAGTTACTTCATGAAGCCTAGCAGTGAAATGGAGAGGAAAGAGGGAAAAGAATAGGAATTACTATTTCAGAAGTTCTTCGATTTTTGCAAATAATCACTACTACTTCTCAGCCATCTCCAACTCTAAATGTGGTAAGTTACAGCAACATACAAATACTATAGTCACAAAACTCCCACAAAGCAAATGCTGCTGTGGAAACTCTATTCTAGTAAGCCCATAAGAATCCTCTGCTACTGTAAAAGCCAAAACATGTGCAAGCTGTGTATCAGTGAAAGGAATCATGCATCACTAATCCAGTTATATTCATCAGTTTCATCCCAATCAAATTCAACAAATCTTACTCTACAAAAATAAGTAGGAAATAATGTACTTTCCCTTTAAAGGCAGCTACATTAAAGAAACTAGAATCACAAGCAATGTTTCTACTGGTTAGAACATCTGGGCAATCTTTTTGACACTAAAGCGCAGTAAGAAGCTGTTGTTCACAGTACAGACAGGAGAGTGGAGAGTTCCTAAAAAGGAAATATAAATGTCCAGACTAAGTCCAATGCAGACAGCAGAGAGTGATCATCAATTACAGAGGGTCCAAAATTTCACATCTCTTGTCCAGTCCTTTTGCATAGAGAGCACAAAGCAAAACTGTGCAAGTTCCTAAAGTCAAAGGGTAGTAAAGGTTGCTACTTTATATTTTGGTGCAACATCAGCATTACGGGTCAGCTAACAGGGTAGGCAAACCAGATGTGCTACAACTTCTGGGATACCTTGTAGATTTTAATTACTTGAATAACTAACTAACTTATCCTGGGTCATTCTGAAGGTGCAGCTTAAAGGATGCTCTCAAACATCCTTACATGTTACTCCCTCTTCCCTTTGCATGCTGTTACTGAAATGAAAAGGAACAAAGATTAGCTCTGCTTAAAATTCAAGATTTCGAGAGCTCATATGCTGGAAGTTCACCTTTACTAAGCGTCTGTCTTTCCTCTTCCTGCCTCCCATAAGACATAGCAAGGTCAGCCAGTACTAGTAACCTTGAACTTCACATCTGCCAATAATCTGTTCACTTTTAAATACATATGGGCAGAAATTTCATAGTGAATCAAATCCATCACTCGTTAGAATGCTACTGCAGCTCACTTCTTGGAGGTCACAGTGATGTCTGAAGATATCCTGCACCATCCTGCACAGCTCATCATGTACCACGACATCACTAATGTGAGAAGATGGCCACAACAAGTAGGCTGCTGGGCTATTCTGGTCAGCTACGTTGACTCATGCTTGACTGTGGAAATAAAAGTCCACCCAGGATTCAAATGGATCATCCCCAGAAGATACTGACAGATGTCTTAAGAGGTCACAGGGAAGAGAGTAAGAGAAACAAGTGCTATGAAACAGGTATGAAGATACAGAAGATGGGAAATGATTAAATGCTTTACTATCTGCAAGACAAGTAGAGGTTCAACAATTTCAAGAAAAAGTATATGTGGGGATTAATAATTTCCTTGCTTTCATAGCTGTACAGCTTTTAGGAGAACATGTTCTGGCTTCCCTTCTTGAGATACCACCCCCATCACCAAGATGTGCACTAGCAATGACAGCAGTTACAATGGAAACACCAAATGGTGTACAAATGAAAACACAACATGTGTAAACACAACAATGCATGCAGAACAGAGGAACATTTATCACATGCTTGACTGAACAACCTCACAAAACCTTAAAACACCAACAAACCAAATAACAATGTACGAACAATATTCACAACACATTATTGGCATTAAGAATTAAGGTCTAATTTGAACCTTTTTACACATGAAATAACAAGTGCCACAGAAAATATGACACTGAGATTAATCCAGATATCAGTACATTGTACTCTAGCAGTGGACCCTGTACAAACACACAAGTACACAAACCACACACGTGGCTGTCACTAGCAGTCATCTTTTAGAATACAGGCGTTTTCATTCCGGTCTTAGGAAGTGTGCTCCAATCTTCAAGTTTTAGGATAAAAATGCGTATAAAAATTGAAGGACACACATATACTTTTATATATATATATACATCCACACATGCAGGCACAAGTGCACATGCACACACAAAGACAGACGGAATATGTACCTATATCTGGATATATCCCTGACATTACTATGGATGTAATAAAAGCATGGAATGATTTTACAGACAAGTTGCAACACAGAATCATGATGAGTTTCTGAATCGCCAATACTCACACATAAAAGAGGGCCTGATCATCAGAAGGTGCTGGAGAAGATCTAGAATGCGAAGCATATGATGCAGCATCGTTTTACAACGGTGTTAACAAATGTCAATGTCTCATGCTGAATGTGAGAGGCATACTTAAGTAGTTAAAAGTATGAGCTGCTTATTTTTTCTTTCTTTTTTGTCTCTCCCATTTTCTTTTTTACTATTAGACCTCCACATCATTTATACCTGCTTCAGAAATCATTTCATCTTTATTGGCGTCCATAGCAGTGATTACTAACAAACATGGAAAATGGAATTGTAATTATCTTCCATTCCTTGATCAGGAATTCATCCTCATGCTTTAGGTTAATAAAGGTGAACTCTGATTCAGATTCATAATCATCTGAATCATCTGACAGATGTTACAAGCAGCTGCTGCTGAAAAAAACCCACTATTGTTCCAGAAATATAAGAGCTCCTAGCAAGGTGGAGTAAGAAGTGAAAAGGAACGTATCATGGTAAGGCCACACATCTGTTTTTTCACAAACAAAAGGAAAAAGAATATCTTAATATGGAACTCAGATTGCTTATTCCTGAACTATGAAAACTGAACATTCTTGAATGAAATAAAACAAAGCTTTTACATAGCACATAAGAATGGTTTCATGTATTATCACAGAAAGCACAGAATTGTTTGAGTTGGAAAGGACCCTTAAAGATTATCTAGTCCAAGCTCCTGGTAATGAAAGGGATATGCACAGCTAGATTAGGCTGCTCAGAGCCTGATCAAGCCTGACCCTGAATGCATCCAGGGGTGGTGCACCCACCACATCTCTGGGCAACCTGCATCAGTGCTTCACTACCCTCACTGTAAAAACCCTTTTCCTTATACCCAGTTTGATTCTCCTATCTTTTAGTGTGAAGCCATTTCCCCTTGTCCTATCACAACAGACCCTGCTAACAGTTCTGTCCCCTACTTTTTATAGCCCCCCCCTTAGATATGGAAAGGCTGCTATCAGGTCTCCCTGGAGCCTTCTCCAGACAGAACAGCCCCAGCTCTCTCAGCCTGTCCTCACAGGGGAGGTGTTTCATCCCTTGGACCATTTGTGTGGCCCTCCTCTGGATGTGCTCTAAGGGTCCATGTCTCTCCTGTATTGAGGACTCCACATCCAGATGCAGTAGTCCACCAGAAAAGGTTTCACCACCACTGGGTAGAGGGACAAATACTTTCTGACACTGAAATATAGCTTTGAAATGAAAACAGTCCTGCACAAATCACTTTTAGGGGTCACTCTGGTACTCAAAAATAGTTCTGCTTAATAGTTTAGGTATTCACTTTGCAGTCCTGTGTAGAAAAAACAATCATACAAGCACAACTGAGGGTCTGTACATCTTTTTTTTCCAAGGCTGATAAAAAAGATTCAACACTTGCTTACTTGAAAGGCTGGCACTCAGATCACAAAACCTGCATGATAGTGTACCACATCAGCCTTAGAATAATGCTGATTTAGCTCTGAACTTCTCTAAGCAAACAGGAAGAATTACCATGATGCAATGCTCTCCTATGTCCAAATTCCCGATTCAGGGCATTTTCACCCATTTGTACCATAATGTTTTTCCAAGATCTTCTCCCTTAAGTGTAAATTACTGAAAAGTTAATGCTTATGCTTACAAAGTAGATTTGTATCATAATTATGTAGCCCTATCCTTCCTCCTGCAAGACCTCTTTGGAAGCTGTGAAAGCACTTGGTCTTTCACTTGCTTGAATTGCAACATTGGCTTCACTTTAAACTCTTGTCATAGGAAGAACATAAACATAAAATGAGAGCCAAAAATGTCAAGTCAGAACATGAATGGCTCAGTTCTTACAGAAGGAAGTGAAGCACTTTTCTCTGTGACATCTGAATGTTCACATCTAGTATGAGATTTGATATTACAAATGTATCTGGAAAAAGACTAAGACTATAAAGCAAAACTTAAAATCACACAGCAAAAATGGAGCAACTTTAAAAGGATAAACACAAAACATGAAAGCATCTTTGTTTCATCACATAACTATGGCATTAACAAAAGACTCTTCACAGAAAAAATCATGCTGTAGCACTTGGATATTCAAGCTGACATACAGATACATACACACTAACTGATTTTGGTAGTGGAAGTTGGAATTATAATGGTTTGAAATCTTATAAAAATAATCAATATCATGTTTTATCAATGCTGATTCCCTCATATTCACAACAGCACTGTCAGTAAAGGCAATGAATTATATAAGCAGGACCTAGTACTTAAGCAAGCTACTGTAAAATCCTAATATGCAGACAATTAAACATACCACTTCATACTTTGTGTACTTGCTCTCAGAACTCCATCACTCTTTAAAGCCAGCATACTTCCCAAGAAGAAAGAAAAGTCCTGCAGTTCTGAATGGATAGAAACTAGTTACCTGCCACCACACTGGGACTGTACTGACCACTTTCAGAGCTGCCCCTTTAAATAATTAGAGACTTCTATTAACAAGAGCTCAAGGAATTTTAATAGCAGATCTGACCCAGCTCACGTTATTATGGATTTCAGAAAAACAACTATTAGTTTATTCAAGCTATAAACTCAGCACTCACTGGTCTGGAGCACTGCCCATAAGCTCAGGAACACTTCATATTTAGATGCTGGATATATGGGCAATTGTGACATCTACAAAGAACTACACTAAACTTTCCAGTAAAAAACTGAACTCTACAAGAAACTTTCATATTAAGCAAGTGGATTTTTAAGACTATTAAATATTTCAAATTTTAAGCAACAGCACTCCAGAGAAAAAAAAAATAATGCATTCGAGAAACAGCTCCTTCATATGTACTAATGAGAACTTGGAAGAGACTTCACAATACACACTTTTTAATCACAGATGTACTAATGTTTTTTTTTTAATACTGCTTTTCCACATTAAGATTGGGTTTTATACTTTCTGTTTGGCAGCCAAAACCAAAATTCACTACATACATCATTTCCATCAGATGAAGACAATGTGCAATGGCCAAGATAGCTGACATTTCAGACAGTATCTCTGAGAAAGTGCTTAATTTGTTTAGCAGTGTCATACTGTACATGCAAAACTCTGACAAATCCTACTACTTCAATAAAACCACACAAAGGTAGTAATGAAGATGGTTAATTAATCACAGAATTAATTTTTCAAAGAACATCCAAAGCCTCCTATACAAGTGATTTTAACTTTCAAAATCATGGAGCTGTAATTTCGTAGTAAATTATTTGCTGAAATGGTAATTTAAAGAGAAATGCACATTGTAAAACAACAGCAACAACAAAAGATTTAGAAAATATGCATGAATCTGGACAAATTTTGATTATAGCCTTTTCCTACTAGAGTCAATTTTCTGGCTGCACCTACTTTATTTCTGGTCCAGCGAGTGAATGTCTTCTTAGCATAGCCCGGGCTTGTGCATTGGTTAAGTTAGTGCTTGATTCTTCATTAATGGACAGGATGCAGTCTCCCACATTAATACGTCCATCACGACTTATTGATCCTCCATGGATGATACTACGAACTATCATTCCTGTGCCATCTTTATCAGAACTTACTGTCATTCCTAGAGTGAGAAAGGAGTGAAACAGGTGATCGTTAGTATCTTCTTTGAGCCCTAACTCTGGGTGACAAGGGAAAGTGAAGTGATAGCAGACTGGGAAGGCATAAGACAGCTACATGACCTGCCAATCTCAACAAGCCCAACACTGACCTTATTCTCCTTGTGTTTCCATCTTTCCAAAGAGAGACAGGAGTTAAAAATCATATTCACAATATCCTCACTTTATCTTATGTAATTTCATATATCAGCTGAATATAAAAAACTAAAAAGCAGTGGAACATTTAAGCAAAAAATAAATCAAAAATCAAATAGATCTCATAAAAGCAATAATATTGCTCCTAAAACAGTTAAGTCTGTAACCCCTCTGGGTGGCTCCTCAAGTTCATTTGCCACATCTCAATTTTCTGATGGGTCTTTTCAGAAAAAAAAGAAAAAAAAAAAAAAGAAAAAAATTATTAACTATAAGCGTGGGGCAATACTGCACAGTTCTTAATTTTCTTCAAAAATTAAGGCAACCAATTGCTTAGGCCCAGAAGAGCATCCTAACTTCTGCAATAGCCTGTGTACTATTAACTGATACAGTCCTTTATTCAGTGTACATGACAGCACTGCCTGTGGTGCAGCAGGATGTTATGTCTCTTGATTTACATGCATCATTTAACTCTGCATTCTTTTCATTAAGGGGAAATAAGACAGAAACTGCTTACAGGGGCAGATGATACTCATGATGACACTTCTAAAAAAAAATAAAAATTGCTCTTCACAAAGGCAAAAGGTACCTTAAGACCCCAAACAGATTTCTCTCCTTTTATATTACCACAATGGGCTTACCACTGTCTTAATACTAAAAAGCTTTTCTTCTTCTTCCTTGTGCATTGATGAATGTTGAAAGCTTTTCCTTACAAGAAAAAGAAACTGAAGGAAAAATGCCTTTTAGAGCAGAATTTACTGAAGGAAGATGTAGTGAGCACTCCTCTTGGGTTCTCCTAGTTTTTTAAAACCTCTTGGGTTCTCCTAGTTTTCTTAAACCTCAAGTTAGTAAGTAATGGGAGGGCAGTTCTATTTTTGCAATTCTTTACCATCTTGTCCAGACTGACTGGAAGGAAGATGACCTTCAAAGCAACAGTTAACCAGAGCAAACCTTCCAAAGATACTGACATGAGAAAATTCTTATCATTTATCTACAGACATTGCTACAGAAGACTGACCAGCTGAGTCTAGGAATGTAGACCTTGGGAGACAGACCTTGGGAACAAGAACTGGCTGAAAAGTTTAGAAAGCAACTACAACCTACAGGCTATCCAGACTCAGCAAACCAAGTAAACATTTGCCTCCACAATTGTCTCAGAGGAGAAAAAAATAATAAAAATACTGCTAGCATTTAAAGAACAAAACTAAAAAAGATTTTCACTTACATTTTTTGGATTTCCATAAATATAAAACTTTCTGAATAGTGCTGGTTCCTCATGTTCACTTACAATTGAGATCAACATTATCCAAGGTGACCCTGCTATCAAAAAACTACCCCATAAGCTTCTTATATGAATACATATATTCATAAGGAATATATGTATCTCTCTATTTTGGTATGTAGAATCACATTTTATCTTTTGAAAAAACTGCAAAACCACTTTCATGATTGGACTTTATTAAACAGACGCAAGAACATGATGTTTCAAATATCTGGAGTTTAAAATTTATGATTTGCCAGGGACTGTCAACTGTGACAAGTTCTATGCAAAAATGCTCACAGTATTACAGTACCATGACATCCAGCTCAGCACAGGAAGTAAATTCAGAACTATGGCATTTTATGGAAAAGGGCTCAAGGGCTTCCATCAGGGTGCTTTCTGTGGACAGTACATCTCTCAGTATATTTAAGGCCACTGCAAATAGCCAACACTTAAACTATGTTTCTCTCTGACAATGCCAGAAAGTCTTCCAAGAAGGAAAAGCACCTGTAGTCTAAAACAAAACAAATAAACACTCTGGCCTAAGTAGGGAGGGGAGCAGATTATCTCCTGCCCCAAACCTTCCACTGACTGGCTGTGAGATTCCTGTGCTTATGCTCACCCCAGCCTCGCTGGCTCCACAGCCACTACAGGAACCTGAAGAGGACAGCAAAAACTGCTTCAACCTACTGAGCCTATCAATACCACAATACACTTTTAATCAGTATGTTCAGGGAGATGCAGATTGCACATCTTTAAAAATGGCAGATTCTCTACAAAATGATGTTTTTGAATTAAAAAAACTATAGATAAATATATTCATTATCTGATCTTTTCAGAAATACTGAAACTTAAGATAAAGTGAAAATCAGAGGAAAGGAACTGAACAACTTATTTAGTTTTGACCATAGTCAGAAAACATGATGATTTCATTTTTAAATACATTTGAATATAAAGCTCTTTGATCAAAGCTTTACATCTCAAAATACAGTACTTACTGGCTCCATCTTGTGCCTTTCCACTGTAGATCACAGAATCATAGAACCATAGAATCACAAGGTTGGAAAGGACCTATAAGATCATCTAGTCCAACCACTAAGCCATTACCATTGTTATCACAAGCCACTAAACCATACCTCGTAGTTCTTCATCTAGGCACCTCTTGAACACTGCCAGGGATGGCGACTCTACCATCTCCCTGGGCAGGCCATTCCAGTGCCCGACCACTCTCTGAGAAAAAAAGTTTTCCCTTATCTCTACTCTAAACCTCCTCTGTTACAACTTGCGGCCATTTCTTTGGGTCCTGTTTGTTGCCTGGGAGAAGAGGCCAAACTCCACCTCATCACAACCTTCCTTCAGGAAGTGGTAGAGTGCAATGAGGCCTCCCCCGAGCCTCCTCTTCTCCAGACTAAACAATCCCAGCCCCCTCCGCTGCTCCTCGTAAGACTTATGCTTCAGACCCCTCACCAGTTTCGTTGCCCTTCTCTGGACACATTCCAGGGCCTCAATGTCTTTCCTGCAGTGAGGGGCCCAAAACTGAACCCAGTACTCAAGGTGCAGCCTCACCAGTGCTGAGTACAGGGGGACGATCACCTCCCTGCTCCTGCTGGCCACACTATTTCTAATGCAGGCCAGGATGCCGTTGGCCCTCTTGGCCACCTGAGCACACTGTTGACTCATGTTCAGCCGAGCATCAACCAACACCCCCAGGTCCCTTTCCTCTTCACAGTAATCCAGCCACTCAGCCCAAGCCTATAACATAGGCTGGGTTTATTGTATAACATATAGCATGGGATTATTGTGGCCAAAATGCAGGACCTGGCACTTGGCCTTGTTGAACCTCATCCCATTCACCTCAGCCCAGCAATGCAGCTTATCTAGATCCCTCTGAAGGGCCTCCCTACCCTCAGGCACCACCTCTCAACTTGGTGTCATTTGCAAACTTACTGAGGGTACACTCAATCTCCTCATTTAGGTCATCAAAAAAGATACTAAACAAGATTAAACAAGATGGGCCCCAGTACGGATGCCTGGGGGAGACCACTTCTAATGAGTAACCCATGCTTCCCCATTTAAAATGAAAATGTTTAGTCTTTACTACTAGAATGGGAAATATAAGAGAAAGGAAGAGAAAGGAAGGAATCCATGTTTCTTAAAAGGTTAAAAAAAAATGACAGTTATTTTACCTAGACTTGAATTGCCTTTTGCAATAGTGATGGTCTCCTCAAAGATGTTTTTCACTGTATTTGAGATTCTGAAATTTTTTTCCATAGGCAATAAGAGGCTAGATTCTGCTAACATTCCTTTATCCTAACACAAAGGAAAATAACATCAGTTCATAATACAGATATAAAATTATGCACAGACTTCAGTTCATCTTAGCTTTTACCAAATGAGTATAATACAGATTCCCTATATGGTCAGTCCATTAAAGATCAAACTGACGTATGTGTTTTCACTGTGTGATAGAGCAAATCTATTGCAAAGTAGATTGTTAATTTAGGGACACAATTGACTCTCCTAAAATTAGTGGGATGAATTCAGTGGCTTGCTGACTCATACACTTGAGATGCCTGACAATTCGTAATGCTAAAGTAATGAAGTTAATACAAAACTATAACTCTTTTAAAACTGCTTTAAACACTGAAGGGAAAGAATTGAAATAGAATTGAATAGTGACTGTCTTATAAGGAAACACTACTTGCACAGCCTTAGACTGTGTGTGAGATGAACTGCACAACCCTGCACGAGCACCTAGATGTAAGACTTTCACACCACTTCCCACTGGTTTTCCACACCTAGTTTTCAGCCATGAACCTCCTCTATATGCTCATTTATTTGTGGAACTTAACAGAAAACCTTGCCCTAGACCCCCAGTCTGCCCAACAGGTACACTATGCTTCAGCACTGACTAGTGCTGCAAGGTATGAGCAGACTTAAATACATGCATCATCTCCAGTCTTTGGGTAGGCCTACCAAATTCCTAAGTTTTGGATGCGAGCTTCCACATTTGACTCTTGACATTTACAGTCAAAGAGCCACAAGTTGTTGCTGATCAGTGCCAATTTCAGGAGATTCAATGGTTTAATAATGCCTTTCTATAGTTTTTTGGGGTTCAAAAAAAAAAAAAAAAGAAATCTTTACTTTTCCAGTGGCATCAAGCTGTGTGTTAGTACTTTTGCAAATCCTGATGCTGTCAGAAATTCAGTTCAAACTGTTATGTTTTCACTTATGTTTTGTAACTGAGCACTCACATGTTTGATATCATATGAACAAACAGTCTGAAAAGTCTCATCAGCAAAAAAATCTGTAGTTTCCTGGCTTCTGTCCTCTGCAATATCTTGTTCTCTCTCTTTCTCACTCAGATCCATACTGTACGGACTCTCGGTATCATCTGCAAATCTCAAATATTCCTTTCCAGCAATCTGTTGAAAACAGGAGGCAATAAATAATCAACATTATTTTGAGTACACTAAGATGTGAATCTTAAACAGAAACTAATCGCACAGAATCTGATCTGACAATTTAAACATGTTAGTTCTAAAATGAGTATTTTCAATAGATTCCTAAAGACATTTTACTACAGAATTTATCTGATTTCTGAGACAAATTATTCCATTTTATAATACCACAAATCAATGAAGACGAAATTACTGCTGAAGGCTAAATTCTAATGATGTATCAGTCAGTAAATCTTCACTACTCAGCAAAGAAATGTCCACTCACACACTCTCAAATAAGACTCAAGAAGCTTCAGCAATCTAAAATTAGAGTACAACAGTCTTTCTCAGGTAGAAAAAATTTGCAAGACCAAAGTTTTTATTCTCAAATCACTTTCCAATTAAAAGTAACTTCAAACAGGTTATAGAACAATCATGCAATCTGATTATCCATGTAACTGAGAAGAAATGTTTTTATGCTATTGTTTTTTTGTTGTTGTTGTTTGTTTGTTTGTTTGTTTAATATCCCTTCTGTACAAGGAGGGAATAGTAAAAACTCAATCAAATCTCAGCAAATAAATAAACATTTAAGTTTTGAAGTGTGACAGCTCTGAAATGAAATGATGCAGTTACAGAAGTTTAGCAGTCAGTACATATTGCTAGTGTCACTATCCAAAACAGCCATATCAAGACTAAATTCTCTATACCAAACTTGTTTAGACTTTCAAGATTACTTAATCTCCCATTTCAAGTATTTTTAAAGGATTTCAATAATCACAAGCTTCTGAAAAAATACTTAAATCCTCCCTAGATTCCAAAGTAATTAATTTTAAAAACACATAGGCTATTACATATTAAGAAGATGTATTAAGAACTAAGAGGTTATATGCAAAGGTTCTACATCATTGTTACATATTCTTCTCAGAAATACAGCAAATGTAGTCACAAGAATCTCTACCTTTATCTGTCTAAGATTTTATCCCCTGATCCCTTCAAGTCTTTTATTACATTTCCATGAAGTGAGAAAAACATGATTCTCCAGTTTGTTTTCCAGAATATATGAAATCAAAATTCACAGGACTTGGGGATATTTTGCATTGTTTTTCTCCCACAGTCCTGCAATTTTTTTCTTTGACAGAATGCCTACATGCTTATTCTGTCCCTAGACAAGACCAAAAATGGATCATCTGTAAACAATTGGTTTAAGTAACATCTGAGAAGATAACTGAGCAAGGCCTAAATACTACTAATCTGTATGACATAATCAATGAAATTTCCTACTTTTTGATGATCAGAACACCAGAACTACAATCTATTTAAATGAACTCATTACACTTCAAAGACAGCCAAGGACATACACCTTTAACTCTGTTTCAGATCTGTTTTTAGATCAGTGAGAGTATATTCATTGCAAGGACTCAGATAGTATTCAACATTTTTTCCTTATGTCATACGTGCATATTAAAGTAGCAACATATAACCGTTTTAAATTTATTTCATTTAAAGAAAAGCCAATGCTTTTATTTGTAAAGACAAACAAAATGTCAAGAATTTCTAGTAACAGCTGTGCCTGACCTCATAAGAGCACTACTTTGACCTAAAATTATTTTTCATCAGTTATATTTAAGTTGATGGCAAAGGTATTCATAATCTGTACTTCAACTGCCTCTGCAGTTAGAAATAGCTGAAATATCCCAGCATTCGTCATAGCATCTAATAGTGCCTTTTTTTTTTTTTTTTTACAACATCTCACTGCTTCCAAACTCTTCTTTTACAAATTGATTTCCTTACCATGTTCACTATCTGAAGAACCTCTAAATTGCATACTATTAAAGCTTACTTGAAGAGAACAAACTTCATACTGGTGCAAAGAGAAGAACCATGGAAATTCAGGACTATAATCTTAAAAAAAAAGAAAGAAATGGAAGCCAAATCCTTCTTTAAGTCAATATCAAAAATTAATTCAGATTCGGTAAAGTCTCAAAATGATATATTATGTAAACCCAGTGCCTATCTTATTAAATGCTTCTCAGCATGAAAAATGCATAATCCATTTAAGTAACAATTACAGGGTTAACAGCGCAATCTGCCTCACTGGCACAGAAGAGATGTACTCTTCTGTAGATTGGAAGAAGCCATTAGAAGATGAATTTAGCTTTTCAATCAGAGCATTGTAAGGGATGAATATACTCAGGGTAAGGGATAAAAGAAGATACTGTAGCAGAGGCATGAAGGTAAAAGCAGAAACTCTGTTCAAGACCACTGACTGCAAAACCTAGAAGAAATTCCTACAACGTTGCTTTCAAAGACTATTAGTACTAAGAGAAATGACTCAGAAGACTCTGGATTACAGAAGTAAATCTACAGATTGAAAAGAGAAAGGAGAATGAAAAGCTACTGAGAGAAATAAAGCCAATTCTAATACAAACAATCACATGGGTATGTGACCAACAGGAATAAAGATAGTAATAGTCTTAAGAAACTTACCTTCATTTATTAAGTTTAAATATAAATGATTAGCAATCAGAGATTTGATATGGTACAGATTTAAATACAGTAAAATAATAATTCATTCAAAAACACTGTAAATTTATTAGTAAATATCTAATTATTGGGCAGTAAAAAGGTACAGTTTAGGACAAAAATTTAATCTTTTCATACCTAAAATACTGCAGAATTATGCAAGTGCTTCATATTATCACTCTTTAATATGCTTTGAAAAAATATCAATTACGTTCCTGCAGAAGACTGATCACTGCAGCTTTAACATTACAAGCATCTCACAGTACTTTATCTGCTATACAAAGCACAGCCCCAGTTTTCAACCTTCCACTGCTTCTCTCCCATACAGACAACATCAAAAGACTCAAACACTATCTTGAAGAAAGCTACACTTTAAACTTATAACAAATGTTGGTACAGATGAAGTAGAACACCACGAAGCATTCATGTTTAGAAATACAGTGGCATACAGGAACACAGAGCCTTTCCACACTCATAAGCAAGATAAAACCATATTCCTTCTTACCTTGGGAGTTGATGTTGAAAAAGGGAAGCCGAAATTGAAATCCTCACTAGAGAAGCTGTCAGATATAACTGGTGATGAAGTTGGAAATATTAAACTCTCTGTAGCAAACTGAGATTCAAAGGTGGGTTCAACAGCTAGACCAGCTCCGCTGGAGTCCACCTAACAACAGAAGCAATTTAATCAGCCAGGCTATCTGTAACCTTCACACCACGTAAGCCTCAAACACATGCACCTCAGTAACTACCTATTGACTCACTGTTAGCCCCTTTTTTATTCTCTCTAGTTTTACAATGAAGTTATATTTGCACATCACAGCAAGAAAAATTTCTGCTTCTGGTAATAACTGATAGCAGTCCATCTGAGGTTACAAGGAATACCTGAGCTAAAGCTAGAGACTGAACTGGAATGAATTGCAGGGCTGAAATAGAACACTGCCTCCTAAAAGAAACAAGGTGTTAGGAAACCTGCTATATGCTGGTGTCAATATTCGGATTTGTTTCCAATTTTTTTTTTTTTTTTAATTGTTACTTTCTCTTACAATAATTAGCACTATAAGAATAACCATCTTTATTTAGAGCCACATGTCAAGAATGCTTCCCCCATCTAACTTTACAGGCTTGGCTGTTTATAAAAAGGAACATAAATAATCTTCTGGAAGCTGCAATGCTTTCAGAAACATTTATAAGAAATATTTATTATATCTGAATTTTTTTAAAAATATGTATTTACAAAATATTTATTTTTTTTATATTCCACAAGAAGGTTAACATGGACATTTCTCCCATCTTACATATGAAAGAATTTTAAAAGAATTTCAAACATGGGCACTCCTTTTCATCTTGGAAACGCTTTTCTTTCTTAAATGCAATACAGTTCTTCTCAAGACTCAGATATTTTCAAATACTAGAATAAAACTGTGTCATAAACAACTAAGTTCATGGTGCTTCACATACAGTATTTTGATTATAATTTCATTTGGCCTGGAAGAGGTCCAAGTGAACACTGTATGCTAACAAAAATATTCAGTGAGTTCAGAACTACTGTCAATGCTGTGAAACAGTTAAGTGCATCAATCTGCAGAGATGGAACCTAAGTGTGGCTTTTCAGCTTTTGTGGTTAATTATGCCATTAATTAATTATCAGATAAGCAATAACAATAGCAAAAATCTGCTATCTGCTATTGATTACTTTTTGGGGTACAAACGATCTGCTTTTTTGTTATATTAACATATAGTTCAAACTATTTCTTCAGTGTAGTTTACTCTCAGTGCATCTTCTGGAAAATACACATTAGTGATGCTGAAGGTAAGTCCCAAGTAAGGATTGTGCAATAAATGGAAAGAGTAGGTTGTTAGATAGGTGTAGCTATGAAAAACAATTCCTTCTGACTGAACTCTGCAAACATCCTCAAGTTGGTGACTGAACATTCAATTTTCTATTTTGCATATTTGACAGTTAGTTGACATATCTGCCATATCTTTCATCATTCTACAGCTCTGTTTTAATTATTTTAATATGAATGAGGCCACAGTGAGGGACCGTTGTAGAGACCTATTTCTTTCAACCTTTCTATCTGAGCTCTTTCTAGTAACTTCTGGGCTATGTATATCACCAAATGCTCAAGCAGGCTACATTCTTTGTACAATACCTTTTGATCTTGCAAATCTCATAATCACTGATTGATCCTGAAGTCATAAAGAATACTGTTAGGAGAAAGTAGCTTTGAAATACAGCATTCCTTTTAAGTCTGGCTTACGTGCAAAAAGAGCGTTCCTCAAAAATGTTCAAGGTAGCTAAGAAAGTGGATAGTAATATACTATGAAACATGGGTGAAAAGATTTATTTACAAAATGAGCACATGAATATTTCTCTACACAAGCTAGGATTTTTAAAGGGATGCTCAATGAATGTGAAGACAAATGTGCAGCGATGCTTTTATGAAAATCTCAGTAAAATTCTTCTATTTTTTTCCGGCAACTGAGAAATCACCAGCCAGACTCACAATTCATGCAAATAGACAAAATCTCCAGACATCTGTTTCTACCAAATGGAGATCCATCCCAACTATTGTGGATGAGTAATGTGGTGGTAGTAAACACTAAAAGGTAAGCATGAACAGTGATAAAACAATCCTTTCCATTACAAAATAAGACTTTGGAAATCTTTGGAAAGTCGGGCCACTAACCAGAGCCAGCTCAGCATGGAAGAGGGCTACATCAGCTGGCCCCTCCTCCTCAAGTGACTGGGCAGTGTAGAAAAAGCAATCTTCCTTAGCAGAGACACAGCCTTCTTCTGGTGAAAGCTGCAGAAAGAATGAAGCTCTGAGTTGGATGAGTGGCCAGGAAACAAAGTGTGCAGAGTGGATTACAAAAGGGAGTTTAGAGATGCAAATGAATACCAAGTGCATCAAAGAGATAATTTCAATCACAGTTATAGAGTTGGGTAGGTAGAGGCTTTTTTTCCCCCTTTTTTATTCCAAATATATCTGAATTGTTTCAACTTCATATGTCATTTTACATGACCTAGAAATAAAAAAAGCTTATCCAGCTACATCACAGGATCCACATTAGTCTAAATTCAGTTTCAATTTCTTTTACTTTTTACCTTTTACTAATTGCCATTACAGCAGCCACAAGGGACAGTGGAGGTCATTACAGCCTGCCTAGCTGCAGAGTATTCCTGTGCATAGGAAGACTAACTCCACTATCCATGTTTTAAGTTTGTATTTGCCAAATATAACAGCCTCCAAAGGAAAAAACATAATCCTCATTATAAATAAGCATGTTTTTTTCTAGTACAATTTGATACTTGGTATATTCATCCAATATAACAAAGGAGGCAGTGATTAATCAAAGTATTTACTAATCGGTAATGTAAAACAGCAGGAATGACATATTACAGCAGGAATCATGGGAACTGAGATAGAACAACAAAACAGGTTCTCTTTCAGAATAATACATTTCTAAGTAAAAAAAAAAAAAAAAACAACGTTATTTTGCTAGATAAACTGCCTTAGTAAACCTAGGTGTCCTAGATATAATCCTTTTTACCACTGAAAAAGCCATAGAGTCTTCCCTAAAAAAAGGTAAAATTCTCAAAGTAATTTTAAAAGTATCCTTCTACTACAAAAAGGAAGCTTCCTATTATCTTAACCATTCACCATTTCCTCTCAACCCCTTAAAAGAGATGTATTAAGAATTAAAATTTGGCATCTGAAGCCACAAAGATTAAAAGATTATTATTATATAAAAAGAGAAAAAGAACGACACAGACTGCACTTACACTTACAAATACAGTGGCATAAAATCAATGCCATTCTACTGGTTTGAATTAAATACAGCAGAGACACTACTCGACATTAGCTGAGTTTACTATAGATAATTCTAAGGAAGATACAATGGTAGCACAGTAGTTTTTTAATTTAATGACCCAAGATTTCACTGTTACAGAATTTAGGAAGTACCAGGTTCTCATTACCCCTATATAATCTAGAACTAGATGTTTACTGTCCCAAGCAATCCTCTGCATTCTCCTTCATTTGTAAAATGTGACACCTCCAGATCTGAAAGGATATGAAGACATATGTACGGAGGAAAAAATGAGGTCTCTAGGCTGGACAGAAAGTAAAATCTGAATTATTAAAATGCATGGATGTATAATTGTACAGATATTCTTACTGACATGCTGCCTTGGTAAGCCTAGATCTCCTAGATATAAACCTTTTTACCACTGAAAAAACAACACATAATCCAAATCTTAAGGTTAATCATCTCCTCTTAAAACTCATTAGGTATTTCTGCCTCAGAATGGCTAAAGGAAGGCAGTTATTCAAGCTCACTCTTCAAATTGATAGAGACTACTTTTCAAAACCAGTTCCAGTGTTATTTATACCTGTACCAAACTATCCAGTTGGCTCTGAAACATCTGAAAAGTATTCATCTTTCTTTGTATACAAAGTTTACAGCCTGTATACAAAGAGTATACCTGTAGCAGACCAAAACTTGTGAAAGTACAGAAACCAAATTCCAGAAAACAACAGAAAGTGATTTTATATCATCACACATTTTAAAAACCTAGTAGCGAACACAAAATTATGTCTAGCAAATAGCAGCCCTAAAAGATTGTGCTGGTCATAAGATGCTTCACTGTTTTATCACCTAGAAGATCCACATACTAGGTCCTGCTTCACCATATCAGCCATAAACTACACCTAGTCCTAAATGTGGGAAAAAAAGAAGAATCTGCATTTTTCTGCTCACCCAGCTGTATCCCAAAGCACACAAAGCGTATACAGAAAACAGGATCATTATATACCAGCTTCAATGTACCCATATACCAGGTAAAGTACCCATAAAATTCCCAAATTCTTACAGGCAGAGGTTTGGCAACTCCTATTTTAACTGTTCCTTCTGGAGCTCCTTTCAGTGCTTGTACTGCTTCTTCTAGGCTGCCATTTTCCAAGCTGATATCATTGACAAACATAAGCCGATCTCCAGGAGAAAGTCTGCCATCTTGCTCAGCCACACCACCAGGAACTAATGAGCGAATTAGAATTATAGTCTTTGAAGGGTCAACAGGATCCTAATAAAGTAAAAAGGAAGAAAGACATTTCATTTTATTTAATCTTTTTTGTCTTGGTAAGACAATTCTTATGCATGTATTCTTAATGACCCCCAATACAACTCTGCTCCAGATGAACCCTCTGCACAAGCACAGACCTCTGTCCATGCTCCCTATAAATTTATGCCTCCTCCTACTTTCCATTCTTAATTATGAAAACTATTACTTTTTTCTAAGTGCTGTTTCATCATAAATCTCCATCACAGAGTGCAGCCTGCACTGCAACAAGTCATCAGGCCTAAAAATGCAAATAATTCCTACTGCAATGACACTATGCAGATTTCATCCTCTCTTAAAATCAGCTGTTTGTGAATACAGCCATACAGTGAAGACTGGGGAAAAGTTCACATATGCTCTTTAGTAGAATCAAGGGCTCATTTCAAGAACTACTCTGTATTTCATTGCACCAGATCTCACTCAGTTGACAAAGCACTTCTAAAGACTAAAGTGCTTGTGCACACCTAAAACAAAGTGAAGTTCTCTTTCCAAAAAAACAAAAACAAAGCAAAAACAAAACAAAAAACAAAACCAAAAACCCACAAACTTCATTAAAATTCCCATCCTCCAATGCACTGATGTTTTACAAATAAACTAACATTGAGCTCTAAGAATGGGAAAGTATGATTCTATTATAACAATTAAAACAGGAGCAGAAATGTGTGTAATTCTTATAGAACTACATTGACAAGGAACACCAGTAGCTGTTAAATTTCACAGAATCACAGAATTGTTGGGGTTGGAAGGGACCTCTAGAGATTATAGAATCCAGTTCTCAGTCCACCTCACCACCCACTCATCTATCCCACACTTTCTCAGCTTTGACACCAGAATGTTGTGGAACAGAATCAAAAGCCTCACTGAAGTCAAAGCAGGCGATATCCACTGCTATGTAGACAACATCCGCTGCTTCTAAAACAAAAATACTTGCAGGCAGAGAAAAATATGAGAAATGTGACATTGTACAAGCTTTACTGATAGCAAAGGAAAGAGAAAAGCAAACACCCAGAAGGTGGCAAGCACCTGCAGTAGTTTTCCATGCCAAAATGCCAATGCCAAAAAGGATGCACACCATAAAAACAGCATCCCTGAAGGATTTAGAAAATGCTGGGGGGAAAAAAAAAAAAACCAAAAAAAAACTTGCAGAATTTAGAAAATGATAAAAGCAAAAGGGAAAGAGAAGAATGAAGGATGGAGGTAGGGGTGGTCTGGAGGAAAGGAAGCTAAGACCACCCCTGGCAATTTGGGGCAATTAATGCAGTAAGGAAAATATCATGGGTAATGAAATACTTTATAAGTTGATATACAGGTAGATATTATGTTTGGACTTGAACACTGACAGATTTGTCTACACTTTAAAGACTATCATAATGCGATTTGAGATGACACTGCACATCATATGTTTTGAAAAAACAAACAAGAAAAAAAAATTTCCACTGTATGTGATTCTTACATCCCTCAAGTTCTTCCTGGGGTAAAGAATGTTGTAAACTTTCCCAACGGCCTGCTATTGTATAAAACGTGTTAAATATATGAGTATAAATATAGCCCTGATTAAAGTCAATGTTCATTGAAAATTTATTAAAAATATATGATGGATAAAGTAAAAAATAAACAGAAAAGTTACTGCAAATTTAGTTTATTGTTCACACTATTAGACAGAAACAGAACCTTCACTGACAAACTGAAATGATGAAACCTCATCTCACAGATGAGAACACAGAATAAATCACAGCTATTATAAAATAGACAAAAACTAAGGTAAGTTTCAGAAAGCCATGAAGTCCTGTAAGATATAACAGAACTCACACATGCAAAATATGTACAACTTAAGGTATATCCAACAACCTTTAAAAAGCACAGTGCTTTAAGTAACCACACAGACAATGACAGTTTGCGTCTATACTTCAGAAGAGGCTGAAGCAAAAGAATGTTTTGCTTTGTGCTGATATAGATTCCAAATACTCAAGCTCAACTATGGAGTCTCACTGCAGAGCATTAAGAATAACACCTAAACCATAACCTCCATATGTGTAGATACTTGACAATTCCTACATATTTCAAATTAATAAAACTCCTGTTCTTCACATTCACCTGCATGCAAATGCAAAATATTTATGAGGCATAGTTTAAACTACAGTTTTCTAAGGAGTGCACTGTAGGAATAACTTCTACCTACAAGTGATCTCACACTGTGCTCTTCATCAAGGACAAGATCCAGCAGAGACCTGTTAGATCATAAAACACCCTGGCAAAATCCTACATGGGCCAGAAGAAAAGTTACTTAACTCTACTGAGAAATTTAAAAATATTCACTGTGACAACTGGAAACAGAGGCGAGATATTTGTTGGAACCTGACCAGATGCAAACAGGAGACAGACACGCAGCTGTTCTGATACAGGGACACAAGAATCACAGCTTGAGATGACTGGCAATTTTGAAGTCAAACACAAAATTAATGAGGACATCTAGGCACACTGTAGATAGACAGCAGCTAAGCATGGGATTTCAGAATTACAGTCCTATATTTTAGTAAATCCTGCTTTAAGCATTTAAGTCCTTTATTGGATCTTACTCTAAGTAAGGGCATCCTCACTGCAGATGCAAAATTCATGGCAAGATGCCTGAATATTCTAAGACACGTACATCATTACAACTGAGGTACATCAGAGGTCAATTTTCTCAAGATACTAGTATTTTACTTATTTTTTAGGATAAATCATTACCATTTGAACCTGTAAAATCATAAAATCATACACTGGTTTGGGTTGGAAGGGACTCTTTAAGACCACCTAGTTCTATTCCCCAGCAGGGACTTTTTCCATTGGAACAAGCTGCCCAAAGACCCATTAAATCTGACTTTTTACACTTGCAATGATGAGGTATCCACAACTTCTTCAGGCAACCTGTTCCAGACTCTTAGCACTCTCATGAAAAATTTATTCCCTTACAGTCAATTTAGTTCCACCTTCTTTCACAGTGAAACAGTAGCTCCATTCAGTATATGTCCTGCTAAAAAGTCTCTACATTTTTCTTACAAATCCCTTTTATACCGAGAAGAGCCACAATAAAGCTTCACCAGAGACTGTGAAGAAGCCAGGAAGACTCACCTATGTTGGACTTCTGTGCGTTTCCTACACATGGGGATTAAGACCTGTTTTTCTGAGGGAGCTGCCTGTCCTTTTCTCCTTTAGACCTGACGACAGTTCATTTCCCAGGGAGTCTATATACTGATTTTTTAGATAGATGGAAATTCACTCCTAAAATTCAAGGTCTTCATTTTACTCTTCACCTGACCCATGTCCCTTAGGATCATGAATTCCACAAGGGCACGATCGCTGCAGCCCAAGCAGCCCCCTACCTTGACCTCTCTATTCCATCTGCCTTAGTAAGCATCAGGTCTAGTAGTGCTGCTCCTCTGATTGGGTCATGTATCACTTGGCTTAAGAAGCTATCCAAGAATCTCCTGGACTGCTCAACAGCTGGCCGTGCTGCTTTTCCAGCAGATATCAGAGTGACCAAGGTACCACAGCAGGATCAGAGCCTGCAAGCACAATGACTCCTGCAGCTGATTAAGTACGCTTCATCAGCAGACTCCACTTGATCAGGCAGCTTGTAGCAAACTCCAACTATGAGGTCTCCCTGTTTGGATTTGCCCCTAATATTTATTCATAGCTTCTCAACATGCTCATATCTGCTTTTCAAAGTCAGCTCTGTGCAGTCAATCCATTTTTAATGCAGAGGGCAAAAACTCCACCTCTCCTTCTTTCCTTGCCTATCCCCAACAGTTTATAGCCATTGAAAACAATGCTCCTATTCATTTGACCCACTCCACCAACTTCCAGTGATCACGATTAGATCATAGCCTTCTAACTGCACAGCAGCTTCAAATTCCTCCCATTCTTCACCTATGCTACATGCATTGGTACGGAGCAGCTGCACTACTGACTGTTTCCTTTTTTTTCCTAACTCGTTTGAGGCACTTTACACATTACACTGCTGATTCCTAATTCCTCAGCAGACCCTGACAACTCCCTGTTACTCAAAACTCTCATCATTTTTCAAATTCAAAGCTCTCCTTATAAGTTTGGCCAGCTTGTTGGAAAAGTTTTTCCAGGCTTAGTCAGATGAATTCCATCATTAGTTGTAATACAATAAAAGGAATGAGCAATGTAGCTAGTAAGATGCTTGCCAGTAGTAACAGCAATTTAGCTTTACTGTATTGGTTTCCATTAACATTTACCATTAAAACACTTGTTTACATCATACTGTGAGACCCAAATAATATAAAGTATTTTGTTTCCTACTCAAAGAAAAAGGTATAAAAATTACCTGGTAGTCCAGTATACTAAATCCAAGTCCCATACTTCCTTTCTCCAGCTCAGCATGCTGTACTTCTGCCTCCCACATTGTGAAAGAAGCGTTCTGTATTTCTTCTATACTCTGAGCTGTAGACATTTCCAAAGCTGTTTCCTCTGTGTTCGAAGAGCCAATGAATTCAAGATTTATATAAGCCTGTTAAAACACAAAGAATGTTAAACAACTCTGTATTTGCTGAAAATATGCCCAGAGAAAGAACAAGATAACGTTTCTCAGAACAATGTTTGCACTTTCTCAGAGTAAAAAACAAGCCTGATTTAGTCTAGTACAGAATTAATACTTTTGAAACAAATTCTTAATGCTGCAGGACTCCCTGATAAAATTATTTACAAAATGGAATTTCTGTCAAAAAAAAAAAGAAAAAAAAATCAGAAAATCTTGTTAGTATATATGAGCTCAAAGACAAAGAAAGCATATGTTATTAAATGGTATGCCTGTAAATAGGCTTCGACCAAAACACAGTAGCGCTGAGTGAGAACATTTGGAAAAAAAAACAACATACACACACATGTACATATATACACACACGTATATACATCTTCCTTTGATTTCATAACAAAGCTCTGCAAAAACCAGCTGAATGTTTTGACTTGTCCAGAATTCAGAATTGTAACTTTCTTTCATATCAGTGCTGGTTTTTTGTTATATTGAAAGCTGTTCCTACATGTTTATCACATCAGATTGTCTGGAGCTTTTAACTTATGAGGGACAGAAGCTTGCCATGAAGTGCACATTCATTTCTACTCAACACAACCCAGAAGTTGTGTTAAGTTCAAAACCAGCTGAAATATAATCAGACTCTAAAAAAGCCCACCTGTAGAAAGAAATCCAAGTAACCTAGGTAGATAGCTCTGTGTCTCTAATGATTTCTGCATATGGCTTACCAGTAGGTACAACTACTGGTTGGCCAAACATGCAGCTAATGAATACAATTTGATTTTTTCTATTTACTTGGTTCCAAGTCCTAAAATATTAAAGAGGTGTTTCTAATTTTATAAAAGACTTCCTCATGCTTTTCTTCAAGGAAACAGTCTTTTTCTTAGGATTTTTTTAATTTTTTCTTTTCTTAAATACCTTTTCTGCAAGCTGAACCTCAGATAGACTTAGACTCTCCAGTACTTCTGTGTGACTGACAGACGGAGCCACTGGACGGCAGCACACCATTGTCACCTTAATTGGCAGTTCTTTCAAGATATTGACCACATCTTTGTGGTTTTCTCCAAGCAAAGAGATCTCATTCACCTCAAGAAATGAAGAATGCACAGTGTTTAGTAGAAGTACAATGAACAAACATGAAAAAAAAAAACAAACAGAAAAACATAAACAAATTTTAAAATTATATATATATTTTTTACAAAAAGCTCAAATGGAGATTTTAAACCCTCAGCATCTACTCAATTTGGAGTTCAGAACAAGCCAACAAAACATGCTTTGAGCTGGAGAGGCTCATAAATTGTGGGATGCCATCTTACAAACACCACATACTCTGTCACTTCATAGAACCCAAGTAAAGCATGTAATATACAAACATGAAAACAAACAATACTAGCTGACTTGCATGGAAACAGGTATATCAACTATGAAAACATAAAGATTATGTAGATTTCTCCCAGTCATGCAAAGCAAACTCACGTCTTCATTCTAAGAAAATAATTTAGAAAAGGAAACAAACCACTGTTTTACTCTCTTCACTGTAAGAGATATTTCTAGTAAATCTAAATACTTTAGCTAAATATTCTTCCTTCATTTTAATGGCCTTCAGTTTAATCTGAAAAAGATCAGCTATGAGTTAAGATATGCAATTAAGCACACGTAATCACATAAAAATGCATAAGTACATATGAAGTAACTGCTGAAACAATTCTGGTTACGGCTGGTATATAGTTTAGATATGCTACATTCCTAAAATTGTAACCAGTGAGAAGCAAATCACATCTCAAAAATCCTACTAAAAGCAGACCACAAAAAAGTAGAATTTTTTCTTACTTCCAGAAGCTCATCACCACTGAACAGCTTGCCACTTCGTCCAACTGGCCCCTCTGGTAAGATTGATCTAATGAAATGATGTCCCACTGTAGCTTCAAGGCTTATTCCTAGCCCACTGCTTTCACTGAATTTGCTAACCACAGCAACCTAAGAGATTAAAAAACGAAAAGTTTGCTTTGGACAAATTTGCAGCCATATCCATAACCTTCAGATGCCATTTACATACAGGGAAATCATTACTTCAGAAAAGAGAAACTAGAAATACTGCAATTTTTAATGCAGACTTTTAGACTGCAAAAACATGTATAATTCTTAGCTTAGGTCTTTCAACAGCACTGTTGAAAAACAGTAGCAATAGATTAAAAGAAAGAATCCAAATTAAACTTTCCAATAGAATAAAAGCCCTGAGAGGGCAAAAAAAAAATCCACAAGATTAAAATTAAAATCTACAGGCCACATTCAGTGAAGTTTATGCAATCACAAGCTACTAGACTACTGTGGTAAGCAAACTATCATTATGGATTCACAGAGAGTAATCCAGGAATCATGACAAATAAAAACCTATTTGGCATAAAATGACTATATTGCCTAATGTGTGGATACAAAGTAATCACCACAGTCCCATTCTTTAACCTGCATTTATGTGGTGACTCAGATTCTGAGGCAAAAATAAGAAGAAAAAACAAAAGAGAATATAAATTGAAAGTCCAATTCAATGTGATTCACAAAAACAGGAAGAGGCTCTGCATACTCAAATTTGTATTTGTATAATAATAGGAAAAATGCTTGGAACAAATGAGAGTCCTGCAGTAAAAACTGCAGTTTTAATGACACATCACTTCAGCACATGCAAGTGGGAAGTGTATACAACAACAACGTATCTAATTGTACATATTTCTGCAGAGACTACTTCAAAATTATACACTGAAGTGATTAAGATACTCAGATACTGAGTTTCAGCTGTATGCACAACAAATATCCTAGGCATTATTTCTATCATTACACTGAGCAATTCATTCAGCCTAAAGAATTGGCTAAGAGACTTCAAGATCTAGTTTGAATTCTGGCTGATCAAGGAAGCATTGAAATTTACCTCAAATACTGCTTTTTTGTCTAATACACATTACCCTCCCAATGGCAGGAAATGTGTGAAACCATATCCAACGTAACCTAAGACCTGTGATTATTTATCTTAGTTTCAGCTGGGGCAGAATTGTTTTCTTCAATGTCTGGTATGATGCTATCTTTAATTCTAGGAGAAAAGCAATGTTGATAACACACCAATGCTTATAGTTTGCTAAGAAGCATTGTACAGAGCCAAGGCCATCCTTAGGAAACAGCCAAAGGAGCTGGGAGGGAACAGAATTAGGACAGCTGACTTAAACCATATTTTCCATACCACATGATTTCATGCAGAAGGTTTGAAGGGAATGGGAGTTCATCTCTCTTCTGCTGCTTGGGGGCTAGCTGGGCATTGGTCAGGCAATGTGAGCAATTGCTTGCAAATCACTTGTTATATACATTTATATAATTGTCATAATAATTATCCTTTTCGTTTTCTCTATCTTAGCAAAGAGTTTATTTTTCTCAATCCACGAGTTCTACTTTGTTTTTTCAGTTATCTCCCACATCCCTCTGGGAAGGGGGTGGAGGAGTGCAAGTAAACAACTGTGTGGTGCTCAGTCACCTGTTGAGTTAAACCAAAACATTGTTTTACTAACATCACTACAGAAAAAAAAATATATATATATATATATGCAGAACAAAAACATCTCTACAGATGAAGGGACACGTGTATAATTTTTTTAAAGGAATACATTATACACATATTAACAAGGACAGTTAATAACAATTACAGTTTACTTACCACTATTTCATAATTTGAGCCCATTATCCTCTGCCATTTTGCCTTCATAGCTGCTTCTTCTGTTGCACTTAGCTGGAAATCTAGAAGTTATATCTGAGATTACTATGACGAAAACTAAAATGTTCTGTTTATTTCCACCACTGCTAAGGCAGTGGTACATAAAGCACCATGCAAGAATGCAAAATCAATCCATGATGCCAGCACTCTCCTAAATATGACTAAAATCTTGACATGTTTGGTCTCATCGAGTTTAAGCTTGCCAGAGGGAAAACTTGCAGAACAGTGGCAAATTATTTGTAACTTGTAACATCCCAGCCCCCAAAACTGAGTGTAGTTTGAAAGATGAAGTTCAACCAAAACATTTGTTTTAAATGGCTGGGAAGAGAAGAAACATTTAAATTAACCTCAATGTTCAGAAATACAAGCAGGCACAAAGTAAATGAAAGTTACATACATGCCTCAAACATTTGTTAAGTCAGACTTTACGTGGGCTGATCAGACTGATTCAGTGGATGGCTGAAATATTTACAGATGTGATATTAAATCCTGTTCCCTTTGGACAGACCCTACATTTTATAGAGAGCAACCAAGGAAGAAATTTTGAAACAGAATCTGTTATTTTCAGAAGTGCAAGCATGACTTAAAGACTTTTTAAACATGTAGGCCCTAGAGGGCAGTGAAAGAACATGTGGCAGCTTTTTTT